TTACAAGGAAGCTATTCAGTTGATGTACACTGATACAGGTATATTATTATTATTATTATTATTATTTATATATTATTTTTAGATTCGTTGGTATACTACATTCATACAGAAGATTTCTATAAAGACCTCAAGGAGAATCCGATGTTGCTCGATCGTATGGATACAGCCAACCTACCTAGATCATCCATACTATATCTCAGAACGGAAAAAAGTTCCTGGACTGTTTTCAGATGAGACTGACGGGGAAACAATGACGGAGTTTTGTGCGTTGAGAGCTAAATCCTATGCTTTTAAAATCAAAGGGAAAGAAAAAATTAAGGCGAAAGGTATAAGAGAACATGTAGTCAAAAACCATATAACTTTCGAGGATCACCGACGGTGTTTGTTTGAAGATATAACGCTTAATACATATAGAGAGAATGTATCAATCAGGTCATTCAATCACCAGCTGCAAACAATTAAAACCAAAAAGCTTACATACAACTCTCATGATGATAAGAGATATGTATTGGATGATCATATACACACATTACCACATGGACACTACAAAATTGAGTATTTTTAATAAGACTTGTTTAGTTATGTAACATTCAACTAATAATAATATTAACGTTACAGTGCGATGATGGAAATTGATTCAACCTTATGAAAAATGCTCAATCTTGATTATATTTGTAAAATGTTAATATTATAATCTTGTACAAAATTATTATAATATTTGTTAAAGAAAATGTATGAAAGTGTATATAATTATGTACAAAATTCATCAAATATTGTACATCATTGCATCTATCTGATCTGTCAGGAGATTATTAAAAAAAACTTAAAATTATTATTTATTGTTATTTTATTATTATTTCATTGATTTTTAATTGTTAATTTTTCAAACTATGTATATAATTAATTTATGTATGTATTATAAAAAAATTGATTGAGAAAATAACCATATAAAATAAAAAATTTTAATTAAATATTCTTATAAATAACATATTTAAAAAAAAAAAAACGAGCTATTGAATTATTAATTTGATAACCCATTAATAAAAACTGTCACTTGGTGCGTTAGACAGGCAACAATCATTTTTTACACTCATGACAATTATTAAATTATATGTAAATAATAGATATTAGTAATGATCTGGTTTAATAAAAAATATATTTACAATATGATCTTAAATGTATATAACATAGGTTTTTTTTATTAAGACTTTTTAAATTATTATTTTTGATAATTAAAGGGAACTCAAAAACTATAACTATCATAGTAATTTGTAATAATAAATTTAAAATAAAAAAAAGGGCATTTAAATCCTTAAATTACATTATTTTTTACCATTGGTCTTCTACACGTCCAAATTTGTAAATCAAAGAAGCAGCAAATATAAAAGCATTTTGAAAGAACAATTCAAGTCCAACAGTCATATTTGGTTTGGATGAACCTAGAAGTTAAAATTATTTATTTGAGGTTATACATTTTTTTTAACTTTAACTTTTTGTTATACCTTTAGCTGCGACAAAATCAGCAAAAAATATCCAACATGCAGCTATTAAAGCAGCGAATCCCAGCACAAAACCCATAAATAGCCAGCTTCGTGCTCCTCTAGGTCCAAACCATCCTCCAGAGTAGGCTTCTCCTCGAATTTGAGAATTAGATACTACATTAATCCTAAATGCATATAAATATCAATAACATTAAATTAATAAGAGTATTTTCATATAGGTCCTAAGTTTAGTGGAATGTAATAAATCGAATAAGATAAAAGATAATCATTAAATATTGATTGTATTTTATATTAGTTGAAAAATCAAATCAATTTTGAATATTTGTAGATTAAGAAAGGATTTATCTTATACTCAGTTAAAGTAGTTAATTGAATAATAAGATACCTTTGTCAAGTATTTAATATTTATAATAAATATTTGATAACAAATACGTTCGCTGCTCAAGACGTAATTTTATTTAGTCCTATATGCGAATGACGCCTAAAGCATCATTTTTACAAATATTTTAATTGGTTTAGGATTATGTATAAATCTTTTTTTTTATTCATTAGCTTAGTTCAGTATATAATACTAAATATGTATGTGAAACTTGTACCTCAAATTTTCTATTTTTATCATTCAGTAACACTAATGATAATAATAAGTATCGTAAAAAATAAAAAAAATAAATGTAAATTTGACCAGCTCTTGGGTATGAGTATATACAATTGAAACATGGTGAATGTATTAAAAGTAAATTTTTTCATATATTCCTTATAAGTATGAATGAAGTACATATCACAAATGAACAAGATTATTATTTGTCGTTTTCACATAAAGCGATTTATCGAAATGAACTAATAAACTTGTCTCATTTTGTAATTTTGTGTAAATGACAACAATTTATTCAAGAATGAAATAGATTACCTTTAAGTGAATAAATTAAAATTGTTCACTTGGGTGAATTATTCAATTGAATTAGGTAGCTTGCAAACAACACGTGTCTTATTTAAAATTATAGTTTTTAGAAAAAATGGAAGTTTTAAAAATAACATACAATTGATCAAAAACAAAGAGTACTTTAAAAATTAAACTATTCATTAGACTTTATATGCATAATGTTTTTAAAATAATATGTATTATTTTTATATTTTTAATTTTTGATACCCTATACAATACTAATAGTCTATAAGATTATAGTAAAAAAGCAATTATAATTTATTGCAATTTAATGAATGACTAGTTTATTAAATAAAATAATAAAATTAGTTGTTGCAAATTTACACTTACATAAACAATGAAAATGTTCCAACTAATCCACATATGTGATATGTACCAGGTACTTGATTAGAGTTTACTGTCATAGCATCAATTATTAACCACCAACCAACAGCAAACTGTAAAACAATAAATACGTCAACTTAATAAAACCTTTAAATTGCTTTTAAGTAATAATCAATATATTTTACAAACCAGAAGGCCCGATATCATGCCAGATATAACATTTCTTTTTTCACTACCTCCTTCAAACCATAAACAGTTTCCCCAATTTACATTATCCAAACAATCCATTGGCATGATTTTTTTATAATAAAGTTAAACTAAAACACCGAAATAATATGGATATGATTTTGCAAATTAAATTAGGAACTAACTAGTAACTTTAAAATGTTAAAAAAAAAAATACGACTCACAACTGACTGATACAATAAGATAATTATTACGATAGTTTGGAACACTTGAGTTATCAAAAATAATGATCTTCATACCATAGTTTATACTGTTTATACTACAGATAAAAATATGTTTATACCGCACAAGGTTTATAGATAATATAATTTTATCTATAAACTTTGCATACCACGGAATAGATTAAATTTAATCTATTCTGTGTTCATTCCGTGGATATAGATAATAAATATAGATATATAAAAATACTATTTTTTTATAAATCTGTGGATATTATATTTAGCCGTGATTTTCATACCACAGAGTATTCTATGGAGTTATATTACTCTATATATATATGATTCATACATATGATCACAGATCAATAAATATGATACAAACTTCAATGTCACTACTGAACAAAAACAACCATGGTCTTGGATATATCTTTGTGATAATAATACTGATAAAAGTTGAAAAATAAACACATGATTACTATCAACAAAAAAATAGTAATGTATGGTTCAAAATTTTAGAGAAAATTACCATAATAACATCAATATTAAATTTAATTATTTTTTATATTTTGTTCACCTATTTTATAATAAAATATTATATTTCTTAATATTATTTTGGGTGTTTTATTTTTGCTTTTTCTTCATTTTAATAAGATTGTCAAAATGTTGCCTTCTAAAGGTTATTTTAAGGCTCTCGAATGTCCCTATTTTACTGAATCATTTTGTGATCGACCATATTGTCACTTTAAGCATAGTAAACAAGACTTTTTATCCGACTCAAACTGTCAAATTGCTGCTAAAATGGATAACAACTGTGTCGTCATTTTACCAGATAACTCAAAGTTGCCTGAAGAACCAAAATTAAAACCAAAGGTAAAGTCTAAAATTATTGAGTATGTACCTCAATATATTAAATCTATGAATTTAGAATCAAGCGAAAATTCATGCATTTATGTTTCGTCCGCTGAAATATGTAAAAATGAAACTCCTATCCTCGAATATATACCTTCAAGTGTTAATGAAACCAATTTAGATTTTGAACTAGAAACATTAAATGATAATAATAAAATATTAAAAGAAAAAGAGCCAACAGAACCAATTAATTACTCTGAGAGTCTTACAACAACTTATAATATAAGTAAGCAAAATTCAGATCTTTCTGAATATGTCCCTACTGTTATTGAAAAACCTAAAGATGTTAAAACAAGTAAACATAAAGATAGCCATCACCGTGAACATAGGTCATCATCAAAACGTAAACATGAATCATCGAGAAAGTCTTCAGGAAGTTCCTCAAAATCTTCAAACAAATCTAAAAAATCCAAAAAAGATAAATCTCCAGAACCGAAAAAAGATAAAAGTAAACGAGATCATGAAAAAAAACATGAGAAAAAAATTCAAAACATTAGGTGTACAAAACTTGATACTTTGACTCCTTCTAATTCCTATGCGCCAAAGTCATTAAGAGAAGCAGTAATGGAAAAAGTGAACAAAAAATTAGTTGAAATAGATGCCGTAAAAACTGATTTGAGCTGTTCAAGTGATGAAGGGAAAGGTCTATCTACTACATCAATTGAATCAGATTTAATTGAATATTCTAGTTCAGAAGATTCTAATAGTGAGCAGAAACCATGTAATGTTGTAGAAGCCAAATTGAAAAAACGAATATCTCATATTTCTCCTTCTAGTATATTTGCCAAAATAAATGTAAGAACTGTTGTAAGACCTAGAAGTTCAAAATCACTTCATGAACTGGTTGCTAGCCGAGTGCAATCTATTCAAAATAATGATTCTAGACTTCCAAAAAAAACTGAAATTAGTTTTCATAATGATCCTACTCTACCTTTGTTAAAAGCAAAAACTCGTGTTGCGCATCAGCCAAAAATTGAACCAGTAACTTCAAAACCTCTAACTCCAAATAGTTCAAAAGTGAATAATAAAGAAATTACTGCAGATATAAAATTGTGTTTAAGAATAAAATCATTTAAAAGCAGTAATAATATGCCAAATCCTTTGCGTCAAAGTTGTTTAGAGAAACTTTTTACTGCATTTATGAATCACTATTCATCTGAAGAAGCAATTGATAAGGCACATACGACTGAAGAAGAAGTTCATAGTAAAGCAAAATCATCAGGAATTTATAAAAATCTTATAGTACAATCTTTGATGAAAGCCAATAAAGCACCTGAACTACAAGTTAAAAGTAATCCTTATTACCCTTCGCACATGTATGGTGTTTGCTTGTATGATTTACTAAAAAAGTATATTCTTTCAAAAGACGAATTGGAAAAGAATGGTTATCCCCTGATGGGTGATAATAACCTAGCTTATATTTCAAAAAATGCATATTATTACTGTCCACTTTCTAAAAAACGTAATGGTGATAAATTTATTTGTATGAATTGTAAAAGTGAATTTGAAATCAATAAACGTGGTATGCCTATTGTAACATTATCAAAATGTATTTATCATTCTGGCAAATTAAAATATGAAAGATCAAAAAATGAAAAATTTTGGTTATGCTGCTACAAGAGACAACATGAATCTGGTTGCGAATCAAGTATGTTCCATGTACCTGATAAATTGGATGATGATGCTTTAGAGAATTTTGTTGTAATAGAAAACATAAAATCTCATAAAAATATTGAGGACCCAAATTTTTATGCTCTAGATTGTGAAATGGTCAATACTACTGTTGGTATTGAAATTGTTCGAGTCACTGTCATTAATCATGAAGGAAAAGAAGTTTATGAATCTAAAGTAAAACCCTCTAATCCTATTCTTGATTACAAATCTAAATATAGTGGAATAACTGAAGAATCTTTAAAATACTGTTCAAAAAGATTGTTTGATGTTCAACTAGATTTAATGAAAATATTTGATAAAGAATCAATTTTGATTGGTCATAGTTTAGACAGTGATTTAAAAGCTTTAAAAATGGTACATTATAATGTGGTCGATACCAGCACTATTTATCCTCATAAATATGGTCCACCGTATAAGTGGGGTTTGAAGTTTTTATGTGAACAGCATCTCCAAAGAATCATTCAAAGTGAAGAAGGCCATGACAGTAAAGAAGATGCTTTAGCTTCCCTAGACTTAGTTTGGAAGAAACTAAAAGAAGATGTGAAGAAATTTAAACCTGTTAACATAATAAGTATTGATAAAAGATAGTAAATTTAATTTAATGAAAATATTTCTTATGCATTTGACAGTAAATGTGAACAGGCACATAATTAAAGAAAGGGGAAGACAAGAGTGACTGTTCTCCAAAATATTGTATACCTGTCTATAAATCTTAATATATAATTAAAATTTTTATAAAGTGCTCTCCAACTGCAAGATTTATAGAAAACAAAAAGTATTTTTACCTAAAATATAAGAAAATTGTATTCAAAATTATTTCTTATTGTAAAAGGTTCTAGTTTTAAACTGAGAGAATAACATTTCTTTTTACCATCACTACCACCAATTAAATTCTGTCAATGGGCTTGATTGTAGCTCTAAACTTAATATGATCTCAATTTAATTTAATTCTAAATTTAAATGTATAATACATTAGATCTGGTGGGTTTATTGTAATTTGATAAAAAAATGTTTGATTAACTAACATTTTAAACATTATATAAATAATTAATAGCTTACTATAATTTATTTTGAATATTTAATATCCATTGGCGGCACCCGGGACGGGCCAGATAGGGCCATGACCCTACCTGAAAATGCCTGAATCTACCAGTGGCCCCACCACCGACCTAACCTTAGACATAATAATATAGTCATTTTTCATAAGCAGAAAATATTAAATACTGGTATTTGTATTTTGTTCACTGTATGTAATTTAACAATATAAAGTAAAAGTTTGTTTACTTAAGTTTAAGCATCATATCTAATGAAAAACATGAAGCTAAGTCACTAGATATTGATGAAATAATAAATAAGTTTGCAGTTTGCACATAGCAATTGTAGAATTATTTTAAAGTAGTTTTCTTATATTGTTGAATTCGTTTATAGTTTTTAAATATAGTAATTAGCTTTCATTTTAAATGCTTTTTTTTTTTATTATTTATTTATTTTTTTTTTTTTAAATCTTATTAATGATCCTACCTAATTGTTGGCCTCCCATTGGCCCTACTTAGCAAAAAATCCTGGCGCCGCCACTGTTAATATCTATTAATATTTTAATATTTCATATTATAATTAATACTTGATTTTTCAAAATATTTTTTTAATGTACAATAATTTTATATCAAAAATGTTATTTAAATAAGTATAGTTAATAAAAAATATTATAATAAGATATGTGTGGATTTACACATGCCATGATTAAAGACCAAATCTCAGACTAAGACAATTATTTTAATTTATTAATTTGAAATGTACCTAAGGTAAAAATAATACTTTTGAATAAATATTTCAATGATTTATTATAATATTATATTAAACTAAAACTTTTCCAAACTATGTACCTACTTAAATTAAAGTCATGGGAAAAATAATTGTATTTTTAATAATTGTTTTGAAAATAAAATACAATGTATTTCTTATAATTAATACTATTAATGTACTAAGTAAAAATAAATTAATAGTTAAACAATGTATACAAAAGTGTTTGTCTTGCCTAACAATAAATTGCTGAGATCTTTTGAATATTTTTCAATATTGAGGACCTTACTAGATAAGAGGAAAGTAAACTGTATATAGATAAATAGGTAAATAAAATTATAAAACTGTTGAATATATTATGAGAATATAGTTGACTTATTCTACCAATTTATATAAATTATTTTTTTCTAGTTCCATAGTATTTTCTGGAACAATTGATACTTTTTTTTAAAAATTTGTTTACCCAAAGGCCTCCAACGTTTATACTATTTTTTTATTATTATAATCTAAACCTTGCCCAAATTCTTCATTAATCATTATCCATGGTTTAGATCATGTACATAGTCAGGGTTGCATTATGTCCCGAAAAACCGGGATTGTCATCGTCATAATTTGTAATTTACGTATATAAATATGTAATATATTTTATTTCACAAAAATATTTTTTAAATATTATATAATATAAAAATTGGCACAATATGAAAATAATTTCCGGCCTTTAGGGGGGTAATATGGATGTTAGAACGAGCAATTGTAAATTCCGCCCAAAATGAATAGGTAAAAACAAGGTCTATGGTACATGTAAATTCCGCCCGAAAAAATATGCAGGTACAAAAATAAATTTGTAAATTTCGCCCGGAAAAATAAATATTTTTAAACTAAGCGTTCTGTGACTGTAATGTTCAAACGAACACGGAATAATCGTATCTCAGACGACAGTCGTCAATCATGTCATATCTTATCCACTTTGCCACATATTGTGGATCTAATAATTGGAAATATCAGATAGAAATATTTATTGTTATAATTATTACTATTTTTACGATTTTTAACAATTTTATATAATATACACTATAATATGTGCTAATTATTGACGTAATACTTGAAATATATATATTTATTTAAATGCCTACTTATAAATTATAATGATTAATCTATGTTATGCCCTCACTCTAAGAACATTCTTTTATAACATTTAAAAAAAGGCCTATGGGGATCTGATCCCCACCATGTATACGCCATCGATCCTCTTAATATATGAAAAGTATGTTACTCAAAAATGTGTTTGTTTTTTGACGGCCTTATAAATTTATGACAACCCTATATATAGTATATGATTTAAGATTCATACCATAGAGTAATATTACTTTATAATCCATACCTACTGACATTATTATCAAGCATAATGCATGGACACGGTTTAATGATATACAAGGTACTTGCATTACAGAATAGATTAATATTACCATTATTATTACAATATTATTGTTCTTTGATATTATTCTATGACTATTGTCATTGTTCTGTTCTTGCACGGAATCAATAAGAATTATATGTTATAGTTGATAATAAAATCAATTTTTTATTAAATAAATCCTTATCAACTATTTTAAAAGTGAGATAATAAAATTATTGTTATTATTTTCTGCATAGAATTACACATATTTTTGTTATCATATAAATGCATCATCGGTTGTATGTGTGCACGTGTTTTATTATCTCATAAAACCACCAAATTAATAGTTATTAATTAGAAAATATATTAAATTTCTTTTAAAATCATGTCATCAGTTATGCTGGGTACTATTAATAATAATGATTCCTCCGTTGAGCCGTTTAGTCTCACTAGCCGGTTTTTTCCATCTAAGGTAGGAGGCCAACCAGCGTGGTTAGATTTGAAGCAAATCCCAGAAGCAAGTGAATTGACGTGTTTGAAGTGTAATATTCCTTTAGTTTTCTTGTGTCAATTATATGCTCCAATTAATGAACCAGAATTCAATGGTACTTGTTTTCATCGAACATTATTTGTGTTCTATTGCCACGAATGCAAAGATGAAAGAACATACACGGTTTTCAGATCACAGCTTCCCAAACAAAATGATTACTATTCAGAAGAACCAGCAGAACCTGCTGATCCTAATATTGTACCAGATATGTGGGGAATCTCATTATGTAAAGTATGTATTTTTTTTTTAGTGTATTGTAAAATTTTAGTTTAAAATTTAGATACCTATGAATTTACTGTATAGGTTATAACATGATAAAGAACTATTTTAATAATTTTTTAATCCTAAATTTATTGCAAGTGTACTTAAGTCCTCAGAAAAGTATGTTGAAAATTAGATATGAAATTGATTATTGATAATCTATGAGTATTCCTAAATATTATTTTTTTTTTTAAATATAGGTAACTCGTTTTTTGTTTTTATTAAGTATAATAATTTATATGTAAATCTCACAACTTCATTTTTTTTTTTTTTTTGTAACATCTTTATATAAATTTAGTGAATTATTAACACAAATTCACCTAAGTTCTAAAATTAATTTGAATAATGTTTTTTCCAATTAATAAAATTGTTTTAACTGGAGTTCATTCAATAGTTATTAATTAATCTGTAAATTTTAGGGAGTGAAGTATCCTTGAAACAACCTATTAGAAATTGGCATGATTCATTCAGTACAGTGTTTATTTGTTTTGAGTAGGCAGACCTGCTCTACAAAAAACTGGCGGATTCTCCACAGAGAACTTAAGTGATAAAGCACATACTTGTTATGTATGTGAGTTTAATTTTTATCTAGAGCCTATGAGTTTGTTCCTTGCAGCAATTTTTTTATAATGGTGTTTATATGTTAGGGGTCAGTCTAGCGTGACACCTAGGTATGTAAGGTATACAGAATTCTCCAGTTCTATTCCTTGTAATTAAATTTTTAGTTTTTTGAGATTATATTTTTATTAAATTTTTAATTATTAAAATAATGTATAGAACTTTTGAAATACTTTATCTTCCATAAGAAGGGGTTTCTCAAAACACATTGTAAATCATAAATCATACATTTCTATGATCCAATACAATTTTAATTATAAGTATAATTATGATTTATTGAGTTGGTAATTTTTTAACAGTTTTCTTCATTGAAATTTCTATTGCATTATTTCATTGAGATATTATTATTTTTAGGTTTGCGGATGCAAGTCTGTGATGGAATTTCAATATAAGTATTGTAGTTTACATCATAAGAACATTGATTTAAATAAAGAATTAAAAGACAAGTAATGTATTAAATATTAATTTATCTATTGAATATTTATTATATAATTGTAGCATTATAAAAATATGTTTTAAATCTTTTAGGTTCATTGCAGTATTACCAGAATATATTATTAATGAAGACTGTGATGATTGTTCAGAAGATGGTTCATTTAATAGTGAAGATGATGATAGTGATGACAGTGACAATTTCAATGAAGGCATTATTCCTAAAGGCTCCCTTCATGGTAATGTATAGGGCTCAGAAGTTGTAGGAGCTAAAAAAGGCAAAATATGCATGAAAAAATGTTAAATATGCAAAAAAAATTTATTTAATATGTAAAAAAAATTTATTAAATATGAAAAAAAAAATGTACCAAGTATACAAAACAAATTTTCTTTTATATGTTTTTGTTAAATTCAAAGTTTTTTGGGTGATTTTTATAAACTGTAATTTTTCAATCTAAAAAAAAAAAAATAGAATAAGTTATTTGAAAAATTATATTTCTTTGTTATTATTCAATAACCATATAGATTATTGTAACTGTCATACCTGTAAACGTATTGCATCGAACAATCAAAACTTTTTTTATATTTTCCATATCAAACGAACAACAATTGTCTGAAAGTATATTTTTTTTAGCGTGAAAAACTTTCAATATCCGATGAAGTTATTTATGGTTTATGTAAAATTGTATATAATGTTAGCATTAATAATTTAAGGTACTTACCATATTGTTATTAGATTAATGATAATGTCAATAATATTTTATACTATTCACCTTAGTGCTATAAAGATAAATACACTCCGTTAAATTTATATTACGACAGTAAGGTATGATGACTAGTACGTCAAGTAATCGAAAATAAAATAAAAGAAAATTTCAAATTGTTTAAAAAATATTACACAGGCATAAAAATCTCATGAAAATTAAGAAATATATACTTTTTTCTAAAATTGCCAAAATATGCGAAAAAAATGCATTTTTTAATTTTTATATTTAAACTCGTTTTTGTATGGAACGGATTTCTAACTTAGTCTGCTATAAATTGAGAGTATACAGAGAATTATGCAACTTCTACAACTTCCGAGCTCTAGTAATATATATCTAAAAAATTGTTTGGCAGTATTTAATTCAATTATGTTATGCTTTTAGATATAAGTAATGTAGATGAAGCTTTATTAGAAATGGCTTATGGAGGTGACAAGGATGATGAATACTTTGAAAAGTTCAAAAAATCAATTTCTGCAGTTCCTGAACAAATAATTAGGTATTTTATAATTATTTTTATACAGTTGTAAAATTTAATTCATCATTGTAATTAACAAATAAAAATAAATTAACCATTAGGTATGACCGCTCTGGATTGCCATTATGGATTTGTACAAAACGCATTCCTAAATCACATGACATTCTACCTTGTCAAAATTGTGGCAAACAAAGAATTTTTGAATTTCAAGTGTGTTAAACCCATATAAATGTATATTAAATTGTTTATTTTTAATTTGTCTTGTTTTAGATAATGCCACAAATTTTGTACTATTTGAAATTGCCTGAATCTTCAAGGAAAGAATCATTCAACTTTGGTATTTTAGCTGTATATACTTGTCCTGAAAGTTGTGACAGTGGTCCAAAGTATAAGAAAGAATTTCTATGGGAACAAAGTGCATTATGATAAGATATATATTTATTTAGATAATAATATATATTACCAAAAGTAATTTTCATTGCAATTATATTATGTATTTTATTCAATATAATTAAATGATAAATTTACTTATTAAGTATTTAATTTTACATAAACTTTTTTTTTCTATCTCAACTTAAAAGTTAAAGCAGTTAAATATGTTTAAAAATAAATTATAAACAAACTGGCACTGAACAAAAGACGAATTGGTTTTGTGTGTTTAAAATGAGTGGTTTCAATTTTTATTGTAAAATTATTTAAAATAATATAAGTGAATTCAATGTTTTGAATAATATCAACATGCTACTTTCATGCAAAATTAAAATAAAATGACTATATTAGTACATAAACCCTAATTTTAATTTTATGAAAGGTATACATTACTATTTATGCAATTTGTAGAATAAAAATATTTTTGAATTGTTATATTTTAACATTTATACATAGCTAGTTATCATTAACAAGTGAACATCATGATCTTCCAATAGGTTATTGTGCATTACAATTTTTTTTAATTTTTTTGTTGAATAGCGCATACATTTATTTATTTAATACATTATGAGTTAATTTTAATTGATCCATTGACATCTTGAGTGAAGATAGTAGTTAATATTAATTAATTTTAAGTTTATAATATTTAATATAATCATTGTTAAAATAACATAATATAAAAATGACTATGAAAATAACGAAAAATTATTGAAATATTATATCTCATAAGAATATTTATAATTTATACTTAATAATAATGTATAATGTATAAAAATAAGTGAGTATGATAAAGAATATAAAATATATCCTTTATCATACAAGTAAAGCAACAACCTTGTTTTTGATAAATTAAATTAATTTCAACATTTTAATATTCTGTAGAAACAAAATAAAATAAAAAAATATTTAATAATAATATTTATTATGATATTTGTGTATTGAATGGTATTATTCCTGCTAAAAAAGAAACAGAAAACATCTTGAATCATTTCTATACCAATCAACAAAATTCACCATAGAAATTACTACTTATTAGTCCATCTCCTTAAGTATATTTAGCAAAAGTAAATGATAAGTCTCTTGAATCAAGTTTTTATCCTTTGCAATATACTGAATAATTTGTATATGGTGATTTGGTAAATCATCTCTTAATGTATTCAATATATTATATATGTTATATATTTTTAATTTATTGTTATTTTACAAAATTGAAAAAACAATTAAAAAATTTTTTTTTCATACATAAATGTTCGATTTTTATTTTAATATCAAATATGACATGTCTGGTGTTTAAATGTTTTGTATTATACCTTTCAATACCAGACGTCAATAATTGTAGTATAATATATCACAACATTTTTACAAACATAAAAGGGATGGTGAAAAACTTGTGATTAAGAACATCAAAATATATCAGATGATTTTGATGCAATGAAAAAAAGTAAGAAAAATGTATTTCTTAAAAGCCAATGAAGTACTATATATTAATTTAAAAATAAAAATGGTTCTTTACTTTTTTTAACATTTTTGTTAAATATATTAGAGTGATACAAGAAAACTACAATTAATAATTAATTATAATATTTGATATGAAAATTGAAAAATTTTTTTTCAAGATTAAAATATTCCAATTGCATACCAAAACATTTTTATTAACTATTAAAATATTTAAAAATAAAAAATTTTAATGTTTGTATTAGTTCTAAATATTTTGTACTATATTTATGGTGACAACTTTTTTTTATAGGTCATTTAAATGTTGTAAATATCTATAGTATTATACTTTTGTTTTGTAGTACAAATATCCAATAAAAAAGGACATTAATGTGAATTTCTTTAATTTTATATCCTTATATATATTAAATTTGATTTGGGTCTTAAATTACTAATTAACATTATTAAGAATTTTTCAAAATATTGATAATGTATCAATTATTCTGTTCAACAAATTTTCGATGCAAAATGTTTTAAAGCAGAAAAAATATTGTGTTGTGTTTATGAATTTTTTGGCAATAGATTATGGAAATTGTAGATTTTAAAAATATTTATATTTTATTCAATTAAAAATAAAATTTACCACAAATTATATTAAAAATATATCTACTTAGAAATAATAAATCGATAAATCAAATTAAATTTAAAAAAAAGGAAATTTTAAGAACACAAAATATGTTAGGGGATTGACCAATACGTGTCAAGACTGTTGACCAATCAGAAACCGCCAAATCGGCGATTATGTTTTTTCTTTTTATCCGTGTCTTGTAGGTACTATGTTTCTATCTACTATGTATATACGTAACGTATTTAATAGTTATTCCTTAGTTAAATTTTATCCATAATTCAGGGGATAAATAATTTAATAAATACCCACTAGTTATTGAATTTGTTCCTTGTGTAACTTTTTTTTTACTTTACATTAAAATATTGCCAAAAACTCGCTATTGATAATAGTATCAAATATGATTCTATCTAAAGTACCCGGTGGATTTTTCTTATTTTCGTTGTAAGCTTAAGCAACTTTGAAGTACTGGGGGAAATTAATAAATTATTTTTATAGGTAAGTAAAAGTAATTTTGTTCTTTTTCTTAAAATGTTCTTATAAACTTGGTACTTTACCAAATTGATTTTAGTTTGGAAAGCTTTTATATTCTTCAAAATGGATATTCCACTTTGGAAATCTATCATACCACTTACAACATTTTTAGTTTTTTGTTTACAAATAACTAATATACATAGTTTAGCTGTAATGAGTGTTGATATTGGTTCAGAATGGATGAAAGTAGCAATAGTTTCAGTAAGTATATAATACAAGTATATTGTATTATTATGATACAGTTTTGTTTTATCGAGTTCATTACTTATAGCCTGGTGTTCCAATGGAAATTGCTCTTAATAAAGAATCAAAAAGAAAAACACCAACTGCTATAGCATTCCGTAATGGTGAACGAACTTTTGGGGAAGATGCATTAACTGTTGGTGTTCGTTTTCCATCAAATTGTTACATTTACTTTCTAGATTTGCTTGGCAAAAAAATTGACAACCCTATTGTAGATCTATATAGAAAACGTTTTCCTTATTACAACATTATTCCTGATCCAAAACGGAATACGGTGCTTTTTAAGCATAGTGAATCGTAAGTTTAAACTATGTAATTACAGTAGAAGGATAAAATGTCAATATAAAATTTTATAAAGGAAACCAATACTTCATAATGTAAAATTATTCCTTTTTACATAATTACTCTTGGTTTTTCTAAAAGTTATCTAAAGATTAACAAATAAATTTGTAGGGAACAATTTTCACCTGAAGAATTAGTAGCGATGATGTTGGAAAAAGCAAGAGAATTTGCTGAGGATAGTGCTGGACAAGCTATAAACGAAGTAGTAATTTCTGTTCCTGGTTATTTTGGTCAAGCTGAGCGATCTGCAATTCTTAAAGCTGCAGAAATAGCTGGAATCAAAGTATTACAACTAATCAACAGTTATACTGCAGGTGAAAAATTGCATACTCAATATCTATTAGTTTAAAACCAATTAAAAAAATTATTTATTAATTAATATAACTCCTAATAAATTGTTCAACAAAAAATAATATTTAACAATATTTATTATAAATAAAATATAATTTTGGTAAGATTGTTCTACAAGGAAATTGTATTGTGAACATTTATTGATTTAAATTATTAATACCTTTATATTTTGGCTTACAGCAACATTTTATAATTGGGGTGATTAATTAAATTATAAAATTTAAAATTAAAAAACTATATTCTTAACATTTTTTTAATTTAATTTAATTGATATTTTAATTAATTAATTTTTTTATATTATATAAGTAAGACTGAAGTTATTTAACTTTAAAGCATTAAAATTGATAACTTTATTACAGTAAAAAATAATAAAAATTGCAATAAACTTAATTTTCAAAAATCACTATTTAAAAAAAAAAAACAAATATTTTTTATTATGACAATCATATTGTGAGTTCTTATATCAAATATTTCAAAATAAAAATTCATATTAATTCTGGAATAATGATTTTAGTTTGGTATTCCAGGAGCTTGCACAAAATTATTAACAATTAAAAATGATAACGCTGTATGATAAATGATTTCTTTAAGTTCTCGAACTTGAAAAATCTGTGATTTGAGGACAAGATTTTCAACTTACTCATCGTCTTATAACATAATATTTTCACCACTGCCATTGCAATCGGCAAAGTCCCAAATAATTATAAATCATTATTTATTATTATTAAAAAAAAAAAAAATCCTGTGAATAATATTTAAAAGTATATAAAATTGTATTACAAATGAAAAAAATTTAATTAATTGCAATCAAATTGAAAAAATGCTAAAAATTGGATATGTATGGAAATGTTTGGATTTTAATTCATACTTTCATACAATTAATTTATAAACTACTTAGCAATAAATCCAAATAATAGAAAAAAATTTGCAAATACAAAAACTTCCAAAGCCTAGTTATAAGTAATAATTATTAAATTTAATATATTCATTTTCAGCTGCATTAAATTATGGTATATTTCGTACAAAAAGTTTTAATGAAACTTCTCCTATGTACATGATGTTTTATGACATGGGAGCATATGGTACTCAAGCATCAGTTGTCTCATATCAGCTAGTAAAATCTAAGGATAGAATAGCTCCAGAACTTCAACCGCAACTGGCTGTATTAGGAGTAGGGTTCGTATATAAATTTTAATCTTCACTAAAATTATATATATATATTATAATTGTCTTATATACTTAAATATTTTATTAGCTATGAACGCAATTTGGGTGGTCTGGAAATACAGTTGCGTCTCAGAGATTACTTAGCAGCTAAGTTTAATGAACTAAAATTGACATCAAATGATGTTACTAAAAATTCTCGATCAATGGCAAAATTATTCAAAGAAGCAGGCCGGTTAAAGAATGTATTAAGTGCCAACACTGATCATTTTGCTCAAGTAACTACATTGAGATAACCAAATAAATTATATTTTAATATATAACTTAACTAATAATTAATATTTATGCTGAATTTTAGGTAGAAGGTTTGATTGATGAAAAAGATATGCGCATACGAGTTACCCGGGAAGAATTAGAAGAATTATGTAAAGATTTATTTGATAAAGTAGTACTTCCAGCTCAAAGAGCTTTAGAAGCTTCTGGACTTACCATTGAACTCATTGATCAAGTATGATTTTTTTTTTATGGAACAAATAAAACTATTTTTCTTCTTTACCTACTCCTTCCTCTAATTTTTTTTTTCCTATATTAACCCTTAACCTATTCCTTGATATAATCTTATTTATTGTTTACTTTATAATCTTTCCATCACCTTTGCTTTTAATATAGGTACCAGAATCATACTAACTGGTCGCTTATCTTTCTCTTTACTCTAACCCTTGTCATACTTTTTCTGGTACTACTATCTGCTGCTATTGATTTTTTTTTTTTTTTATCTTATTAACGTCATTCTACTTTTTCTTTATTCTTATTAAGTCAAACAAACTTAATTTTCATGTAATTTATTTCTTCCTTTTCCAGTAATCTCTAGTAAAAATTGATATTCTATTATATAACTTATATTTTTCTATGAGGTGTTGCACAGTGGGCGACTTCCCATTTAAGTCTTAAAAATCATCAAATTTTCCTATTTCAATATACATGTAAATACAGATTGTAAATAAAAAACATATTTGTTCAAAAAGAAACTAATATTTTAGGTAATGTTAGCTGGTGCTGGTACTAGAGTTCCTCGAGTTCAAGACCGCTTGGTTAAAGATTTAAAAAGTAGTCAACCACTAGGTCGATCATTGAATACGGATGAAGCTGCAGCTTTAGGCGCTGCATATAAAGCTGCAGATCTGAGTAATGGATTTAAAGTAAAACCATTTATTACTAAAGATGCCACATTATTCCCTATACAGGTTAACTATTTTATTTTGTGTAATTTGTATTCTGAACTTTATTTACTAATTTTTACTAATTTAACATTTTTAGGTTACATTTGATAAAGAAATTGTAGATGAAAATAAACCAACAAAACAAGTGAAGCGTATTCTATTTGGTCACATGAATCCATATCCACAACGCAAAATAATAACATTTAATAAGCATCAACAAGATTTTGATTTTACTGTTGGTTATGCTGAACTTAATCATTTAGATGAAAATGAAATGAAATGCTTAGGATCATTATCATTAAGCAATATAAAATTAAATGGTGTGAAAGATGCTTATTCCAAACATAAAGGCCAAGATGGTATAGATACCAAAGGAATAAAAGCACACTTTGCAATGGATGATAGTGGTTTATTAATTTTACAAAACGTAGAACTATTAATTGAAAAAACTGTTACCGGTGATCCAGAAGAAGAATCCACTTTATCAAAAATTGGAAATACTATTAGCAATTTGTTTAAAGGTATTTAATAGTAATTTAAATAAATTAATGAAATTAATATTTTTAAAATTTTAAAATTCTAACATTTTAGGTCCTGAAGAAGTATTAAAAGAAGAAAAACCAGTACATGAAACTCCAGAAGAAGATCCTATTCCTCAATATACTAACAGTACATTAAACAGTACTGATACACTTGATAAAGTTAATAGTACTGAACAAGTGAAATTAAATGATACAGCATCTGTAGCTGAGAAGAAAAGTTTAAAAGTCATTACTGTTAAAGAAACTATTAATGTTAACCACGATTATTTATTTGTGTTACCTGTTCAAGGTGATGACTTTCAGGCTTCAATTAAGAAGTAAGATTCTCATAGATAAATAAATAATTTTATTATTTAAGTTGACGTTTCTTCTTATTCTTATTTAGAATAAAAGAACTTAAAGAAATTGATTTAGCAAAGTCTCGAAAAGAAACAGCATTAAATAATTTAGAAACTGCCATTCTTGAAACTCGTGAAAAATTAGACCAATCAGATTATGCTGATTCTGCTACTGATGTAGAAACTCAATCAATTTTAGATAAATGTACAGAGGTACCTTTTTTTTTTTAGATTTTTATAAGTGATGTAGCTTTTATATTTATGTTTAAATTAATTTAATTTTAAGATATCAAATTGGTTGGAAGATGATGGTTTTGATTCTGAAGCTGAAGTATTAGACTCAAAATTTAATGATTTAAAGAAAATAGTAATGCCAGTCTGGGAAAGAACTTTTGAGCACTTAGAAAGGCCCTCAAGGCTAGAAGCATTGAACAATGCATTAAACAATAGCAATTCCTTTTTAGAAAAAATGAAAAATACTACATTAGAAGATACTCCATTCACACAAGTAGAAATAGATACACTTGATAAACTGATATCAGAAATTACTGTAAGTGCTATATATATATATATATATATATATATATATATATATATATGTAATATATTTATATTTATAAGATTTAAATAGTTACAAGAAAAGATAGAACAAGGAACGAATATGTAAGAGGTAGTATTGGTGTAGCGTTGATAGTGTCAAGACTTGAGAAAAGACTGAGATGGTTTGGGTATGTGATTAGGCGAATGAAAAAAAAAGCAGTAGGAGTGATTATGAAAATTAATGTTGAAAGGAGAAGAGGAAGAATAAAACCAAAACCTAGATGGTTGGATATACAATATGAAAATTATATGAAGGCTGTTAGTGTGTGCCTTGGGGATGAAGAAAATCGAGACTAATGGAGGTTTAAGACAATGGTGAACAATCCAAAATAGTTGGGAGAAAAAGAAGAATTTTTAAAAAATACAATATAAGTTTTTGCCTTTTTTTTTTAATAAATAATTTATGTAGTTAATGATATTTTATTATTATTTTATGAATATTATTTCCAAAGCAATTGATTTTTTATTTTTAATTTAAGATATATATAATTCTTATTTGATTTATAGACCTGGAGAGATAACCAAGTACAAGAACAAGAAAAGCTCCCGAAGAATATTGACCCCGTGTTAACTGTACAAACTATTTCAATAAAGCATTCATCAATAGAACGCGAAGTATTCATTGAAAAATTTAAGAAAATAATTATAAAAATAGTTTAAATCATAATTTATTAATTTTTTTTTAGATGAGATATTTAATGACAAAATTTACTTCTTGGAGACCAAAAAAGAAAGAAGAACCTAAAACTAAAGGTAATTAGTGTTAAATTAAATTGTTTGTAGTGATTTCTTGTTCTTGTTATATTAAAGAGTGAATGCTTTTGTGTTTTTATAACTAACTAAAATCTATAAATTATTGTTCGTGAAGCACCAACATCACCTACAGATAATGAAAATGCTAATGTGCCAGAAGAACAAGACAATGAAACCATTGTTAAAACAGAATCACAAGATAACTTAGAAAAGTTTACTTTGGATGAACCTAGTAAAACTGTAGAAGATAATACTGATTCGGAAAATATAAAAAATGAAAAATCCCAACCTATTGAACCTACTAAAACCGGTGAGAATCTCAAGACAAATTTATGGATAGAGATGCACAATTATTTTTTTGTCAAATTTATCATAGTTGCTTTTGGCAACAGTATATACTTTTAGGAATATTTTGAAAATTACCTTAAATCTAAAAACAAATTTTAACATATATTTTACCATCAATGATTATTAATTTGATTAGTTTTGCTTATTTTAATGATCAAAAATGTGACTTAATTAAGCACGTTTTTTTTCTGAATCTAACACTAGGCTTTGAAATTAAATTAATAATTAATTCTTCCATATTTTTCGAGACATTTTTTCATAGATATAATATAATAATTTAATTATGACTTATTTCATGGACACAATTATAATTATAAATATTAATAATCCCAGATATTCCTTTATCATATTGAACAATTTTTAACATTAAAATAAAAAATAACTTATTTCGGTATTTTAGTAAATTCTTAGTTATACAATTAAAACATTTAAATTCTAAAATATTGAACTACTTATTTTTTATGTTTAGTTAAAATGTTTAATGTTTTTTTAAAACACTTGACTTTTAAAGAATATTGAAATTATATTTATTTTTAGCAAAAATGATTTTAATTTTAAGCTGTTTTTAATTGTTTTTTAGAAATAGTTTAGAAAAATATTTTTTGCTAAATTTATAAATTTTTGTATTTTACAAATTAATTTTTATACTCCATTCTAAAAGAAAATACACCCAGTGTTGATCAGTTTTGGTCCAGTATCACCTCCTCATAATAAACTGTCCAGACCTGTGAGAAAATATCACAATTTATCAGTAATATTTAGAAATAACTATGATGTTGCTTCTACGCGATAATGATCAGTGGAATGAGAATATAGAGGTCTGGTTTTTATCATTTGATATACATAGAACTAGTATTTTATCTTTTGGAATAAAGTAAAAAATCTGCATCATAATTTTATTTTATTTTTCTAATTTTGTGTAAAATACTGATGTATGTATTTTAATATATTAACTAATCATAATATAGTTCAAAGGCAAAATAAATTTAAACTACTACTAATTTTTATATTAGTTTAATCGCCAACTAATATTATTAATATACATATATTTTTTTGAATTTAAATCCAATTATTTTATTTCATTGATTTACTCTTTATCAATTCTATTCTATGAATAAAATTGTTATTTTCCATTAATATTTCTTATTTTTATAACATTGACATTAATTATATTCACAGTATTGATTAAGTACTGTACTAGTTAGAGTAAACTAGTATACTAACTAGCAGGGCTGTATTTAAGGAGTGATTTGGGAAGGCAGTAGGTCCCCCTGAAATATTTAAAGGAGCATGTTATACTATAAAATCATTTACATTATTTAATAGCGTACAAAATTGGTATGTATTTAAGAGTATTTTATTGAGATATAGATTAGGTTCGGTGTAAAATTGAGATTTATAGAGACGGAACATTTAAACGAAAGATACTAAATTATTTAAGGGTACTACCATCAGTCTTATAAAGACTAAAAAGTCTAAAAGTCTAATAAAAACAATTTTCTATAACTTTATTTATGTAATTATAATTCAGTTATTTTGGATTTGATATTAATTACAAAAATTGTGTAATAGTGTACTGAAGTAGAGAAAATGAATTGTGAGCGGTGTTTTAATGAATAGTTGGACATACTTATTTTCGGTCTTACATTTCTGAGAAGAGGGACAGAAAAATGTTTCTCCTGAATGGAGAAATCTTAAATATGACTGCTAACTAGTATACTATTTCATATCATTTATGTTCCTAATATTATATAACGATTGAAAACTCAATATTCTTTAGTAAAACTAAATTATTCATTATTTATTTTGTATAAGTAATTATAATTATTATTTTTGTTACAGATGAGAAAGAAAAATCACATTCAGAATTATAATTAAATAAAAATGTGTATAAATTGTTTATGTGATCACATGCTGTTGTGCATTCCAGGAAACTTGTCATCAAAGACTTAATGTTTATTATGTAAATTTTTTTGAAATTATTCTGGATGATTGTATTTTGTTGTATTTTGTTTTTCAACCACATTGTTCAAAGTAAATTAGAGGACACGTAAATAATGATTATTTAAAAATTGTGTTTGTTACAACTGGATAAAACGAAGAAAAATTATTATTAAATAATGGTTTTTAAATGATTACTGAGCGCACATTATTAATATTGAAAAAATACAAAACAAGGTACACCATATGCATTACTTTGTAAACAATTTCAATACTAATTATAATAATACATTAAAATTATTTAAAAAAATTATTCATGCTTATAAATTTAAAAAAAAAAAATCTGTTCTAGAGGACGTCAAGATATTGATAATCATTAAAAATTTATAAATTAATAATTTTCTTAACAATTTTTAAGAATTTAAATGTGTACCAGGAAATATTATCTATTTTATTTTTTATTTTTAGCTTAAAGATTTATCAATAATCACATTTAATAATAATTTAATAAAAAAAATAAAATATTTTATTTAATCTGAGTAATATTTTAATTTGAATTTAGTATAAGCATAATATTTTTTAAATACAATTATTATAATATTATTTTAAAACTTGTATTAAAATATTTAAATGTAAAATAAGCACTGTTAGTTTAATTAAATAATGCATAGAAATAAAATATATTAGTTTCCATAAAATAACTAAATAAATAATATTTGGAAAACTTGTTTTAGTTTATTTTAAATAATATAAATTTAATCCTGATACACAATAATTTATATTGCTTATTTTATTAATTATTTATTCATCATATTAACAATTTTTCAAATGTATATCTATATATTTTTGATCTCCAACATAAACCATATTTTTTATTTCAATTTAAATTAATTTAATTAATTTTGTGTTTTTACTATACATTCCTTCAACGTCCTCATTTAGAGTATAAATTTATTACAAAGCCTATTTTTACCTTTAAAAATAAATTACAATTAAATATTAAACAATATGAATATAAAAATATATATTACAATTTTTTAATCTAATAAACATTTATCAAAAACATTAATTATAAAAGAAAAAAATTATTTTCAAGAAATAGACACTAAAGCATTAATTCAAGTAAAAGCACAACCGCATTTATTGAACAATATTAAAAAAAAAACTTATATACGCTAATTATTAATAATAATAATAATGATAAATAGTTAATTTTCCTATTAGAATGTTTAAAAGTCTTATGGAAGATGGTAACACCTGAAAAGTCGTTAGTTTTTATTAAAAAAAAAAATTAACAATAATTGCCTATTTATAAACCCTGACTATATAAAAAAAACATTTTTCAGTAACATAAGTCAAACTGAAGACAACAAATGTGAACATGAATGAAATGCCACATAACAATAGTATAATTTAAATGTTTATATAATTACAAAAAATATATCATATAAATTAATAACTTAAAGGATTGATTTAGAAAAGTGCAAAACATGACATGGTGTTTTTAATTAAAATGTAATTATTTAAAAAATGTATTAGGTCTTGAATAATTAAAGCAAAAGGCACTTATTTTATAATTAAATTATTTAATCTAAAATAAACTTTTATTGGGTAATCAGTGGTAAATAATTATATACACTACTTAATAATCACATTAAAACAATGAATAAATTGTTTAAATAAGTGCCTAATTGCTCCAAAAATTACACATTAAAGTGTGACTAAAAAAATTACCAGGTACATAATTTGTTTTGCTATTTAATTAAGTCATAAAGTATTTTTGCTTTTAACCAATTTAACTTGGCTACCAGTACCGACTGACGATGCATCTTCTAAAGAATCCAAGTCTAATGCTGATTCAATCATAGTAGTATCTTGAAGTAGTTGCAGCCGACTAGCACTTAGTGGGGGAGCACCAGAAGTTGTTTTTGAACCATCATCCAAATCTAATTCGGGATCTAATCGCCCAGGTTCGATAGTCTCATAAATGCCAGTATCATTAAATGTGTTAGTTAATGATGTTACACTTTTGTTAAATTTCACATCTGTAAAAAAATTAAGAAAAAAATGTATTAATTGTAATTTCACCTCCATGATTAGTTTTCACTTACCAATAAAATTTAAATCCTAATCAACTTACATGGTAGGAATGGCATTTAAAAAGAAATAAAACATAATATATTAAAAATTATAATTTAGTCAAATTTCTTTTATAACTATTTCCTAATTTATGAACTTTCTATTAATTAATTAGTATTATTTATAACACTATTTTTATTTGCTGAATGCATTCTATTGGCAGGAGTACCTCCATGTTCACGACAATGACTATAATAAAGTTTTTGATTATTCCTACAACGATAACTAGGTACACGAGAAACAGCTGAATAATACATTGCAGCACGGTCTCTGCGTAATGGTAGACTTGCATAAAAGTAATTTGGGTTAGTAGGTACTAAAAAATAGTCAGGGGGACAATTATGTGATTCTAATATTATTGATGAGTGAGAGGTAGGTGGTTTTTGATACAAACCATTTATAATATGACTTTGATGCACATGATTGTTTTGAGAATGATGAATACTTGGCATTGATGTTGTGAATGTATGTTGTTGATTGCAATCAAGACTATCGGGTTGCAACATACTTGATGAACCATACTGATTTAATTGGATGTCATCAGTGTTAGGTTTTCCATTCTACAAGTTAAAATTAATAAATACATAGACAAAAATTAATTAATAAATAATTACTTGATTAACTGGTACATCAGAAGCTTCAAACCCTTTATTAGATATTACTGTATCTCTGCTTTGACTTTTGTTCATAGACTTAGATTCATTCAATGATAAAACAACACCACGCCTATCTACAATATTTATATACACAACAAATTTAAGTAATTTTGCATAACATAATAATAATTTTAATACCTAAAAGACTTGGAGGACGAGGAGAACACAAAACATAACAATAATTGGCACAAATGTTACCTCTACTATAAGGATTGGAATTTGGCCGCCCGGTGCGACTGGCAAAAGATCCTTTAATCTAATTAAACAATTTACATTTTATAAAAAAGAACAGTAAATTTCACAGAATATATTTTATATTTAAATAAAAGGTAAGTATAAAATATGAACTAACGTCTTCATTAGTTGTTTGATTAGATGCAGCAAGAAACGTATGAAATCCAGCTAACCCAATCACACTCCAACAACTGAAGAAAGTAATAATTACTACTATTACACTAGTTGGTGACTCAGATATTGCTTCTACCATTACTCTATTTTCAGATACTAAATAAAAACATTATATGAGTATAAATACATATAAATTTGTAAACGATGTTAGTTAAAATATTGATATTCAAAAAAACTTACAGTAGAATAAGTGCAGAATAGCTCCAATGAACACGATGATAATAAGTAATGATAAACAAATAATAAACATATAGAAAAACCTGTAGTTCCGACGACCAACACAATTTCCTACCCATGGACAGTGGTGATCAAAATTTTCTAAATGTTAATAACATATTAAATTTATTTAAATATAATGTTAAATAACTAATTCTACACATAAATATTTTATACTTAAAAATATTTAACAAACAAAAAAATTTAAATTGTATTGTTTTTATAACAATGAAAATTTAAAAGAATCTTGAAAAAAATTGTAAAAAGCATTTAATAACACTACAATTTTTGGATCTTATATACTTACCAACACAATTATTGCACAAGCTACAGTGAGAAGCTCTAGGCGGTCTGAAAATCTTGCATGTTACGCAGTATTTCAATTTGATTGAATGACCTTTAATAACTACCTCTTTGGTCCTAGGTGGTGGTCGTATAGTAGGTGTTCCTCCATTATTAGGTATACTTATATCTAAAATATAATCAACGTTCAAATTTTAAATAAATAAGTAAATTTATTCAATTAACAGACATAATTTATTAAACTTATACAACAGGGTAAATTTAAACAATTTAATTAGTTTTTTATAGAAATACCATAACTTATTTTATAATTAATAATAGTAACATAGTTAAACATTAAACATTTAATGTAACATAATGATTATAAAAGTAACATTTAAAAAATTTATGTGCACCAAAAAAAATATGTTATTAAAGAAAACTATTAAGTTAGTATAACTATATTTATCGCACTTACAAACTTGTTTCTCTATGTAAGCGGCTTCATCAGCAGTTGCTCTAGGAATTATACCAGGGTCTGTGAAACTGGTCTTGAATAATGAACCAATAACAAAAAGGAACAACACACCCGATATGATCGGAATAACAGGAGTCACACGGCGGCTAAGGTATGGGCAGCTAAGAACAAAAATTAATTCGAAACTATGTAAAAAAATACATAATTATACACACTTATACATGGATTATGCACTGTAGACTCTATATTACACAGTTTTGCAGAATAAAATACGTGTATACTCACTCAAAGACAAAGAACAACAAACTCGTGCCAATGATCAGGACCACATTAATGTAAAACACTGCCGCGTGCGGTGCCATCATGAGCCGGCCGTCACAGCAGAATCGATTTCGACCTGGGAACATTTCCCATTTCCTAGTGATTTTGGCCATACCCAATGAGTCATTTGAATTTGAATGGTATTCCGCATAAATGTCATGAATTAATAGGAGAACGGTGATGCATTACTATCCGAATGAAACGGTCAGTGCTAAAAAACGTTCAAGTGAACAGTAGAAAAAAAAATTGTACCCGATATTAATGATGAATGTATTGTTATTATTATGTCGTAGATTATGATTTTATCAAAAAATTGAAAGTAAACAAAAAAAAAAAAAAAGCCACTAAATTACCTATAACCAGCTATCTATTGATTATAGATGACGTGATTTTGAGAACCACTGCCAGCGGTGAATAAGCGCAAACATTCAGTGTATGATATACCCGGCGTTCGTCCTGTGAATTCTTAGTCTTATTTTTTCGAATGCTCAGCCGTTCTATAAATCGTTGAATGAAACAATACAATACAGACAAACACGATTGGACCTTCGTAAGACCAACAGCTATTTAATCATACATAATAATTATCAAGTAATGCGATTATTAGCTATTGAGTTACACATGAGAGATATGCCTTTGGGATGTACTTACTAGCGCGCCTGACACTAGTGAAACGATTAGAAAGACGCGAAGCAATTCTTATCGTAGACTTATGTCAAGTACGTTAACCAACGTAGCGCGGTTTTGCAAACGAATCACGTATGACTTACGATGATCAGTATTTTATTCTTAATAATTATTAATTATTTTTAGTCTATAGTCGAGTGATATTCAAATTTCTGGTATCGATACGCGCTATCTGTGTTAAAATTCGTTTCAGTTTTACTAAAATTCGTGACATACGTATAGACGTAATGTACCCATAATACTGACAGCCTATAGAAGTCTATAAATATATATCAACAGTGTTAATATGCTCGAAAGTTATATGCATTCGATTATCATTTCTATGTTAATGCTTTATCGTTGATGACAGCCAAATGCCTATGGGTGAGATCCACAGAAATCTGTAGTATTTATGTACCCATGTATATTGAGTGGCGTACAGTGGAGAAGGGTTAATGGATTGTAACCCCCTCAACTGTCTCTCTTATTTTGTAAAATATACTCATTTTCAGACGTAAGAATGTTACATGATTAAATAATTTTTTTTCCATAAAATTAACAATAACAATTTTTATATTTTAATTTATGTATAATCGACTCGTTAAAAATAAAAAGTTGGTACTTATGGGAAAATTGAAAATTTAACAGCCTTCAACATATTATCTGGCTACACCACTATGTACATCTATGGTTTATTTGCACCACAGATTAAGATAAAAGAATGTATAAAATAAATCGTTAGACCTTGGTAACTTTAAAAGTACAATTTCGATTAACAAAAATTACGATGTACACATTTAACACTAAAACAACTGTGCTAAAATATAGACATCTATATAAACATGTTGCATGATAAACAAATAATCCTGCCACATTAAAAGTTTATTACATTTACATTGCTTAATATCTATTAAATATTAAAAAATTAATGAACTGTAGCCTAGCTTTTAAGAAGCAAATGTTATATTTAATATATATAAATCATATGATATACAAAAAACAAAATGCTGATCTTTTATGGTATCATTTTTTATTTAATTAAAAATATATTTCTAATATAAATTGAAATGTTAAATGAGGTAATTCATAATAATTAAAAATATATCTTAATTCAAAAATGAATACATAACTTTTTAATAACAAAAAAATTACAATCACTTAAATATACTTATATACATACCTTAGTTTAATACTTAAAAGTATATAAATCTAAAGTTTACTAAATAAGAAAATACAAATAATTTTTGTTTGTATTTAATAGAAAAAAAAATATGAAATTTAAGGTTATATAGATAGGAATTGTTGAAAAAACAATAATTATGTTGAACAAATAAAAAGTTGGGAGTACGATTAAATTAATCGTCAAATTTAATAGATTTAACACCAGCATCAATTTGTCCACCTCGATATGACCCACGTTTCTTTTTTGTTTTTTCATGTCTAAATGATTTTCCTTTTGTATATTGTAAGTCTAAAGCAGCTTTTTTACCCCAGTTATCATATTGCCCCTTCTGAAAATCCAAGATAAACTATTAGTATTTAACAAAAGAATACTATTAACAACACATATAACTGCCAAAAATACAAATTTAAAAGTTATCAGAACAATTTATTTTTAGTTTACTTACTTAGTCATCAAATTTAATTTTTTTATTTTGAGGCGAACTATTTGAATCAATACTATTATTGAAGTACCTATCTTTACCAAAACCACCTCTACCACGGTCACCTCCGCCGCGTCCTCCAAATCCTCTTCCACCACGTCCTCCAAATCCTCCTCTACCTCTATCATTACCACCCCCACGGCCACCAAAACCTCCACCACCGCCACGTCCACCACTAAACCTATTGCCGCCAAAACCTCTTTTGTCTCCAAAACTACGACGCTCGCCACCATTCTCCTCACCACTACCAAAACTCTTTCTGAAACCACTGCCTTCGCCTTCACCTGAATCATCAAATTTCCGTTTAAAACCACCTCCACTGCGACCAAAACTGTTTCTGTCTCCACCATTTTGATCATTATCACGATTGAAACCTCCACGGCCGCCTCTGAACCCTGTTCCACGACCACCTCTATTTCCCCAACCACCTCTACCTCCTCTAAAACCGCCTTGGCGATCTTCACCCCATTTGTTTGTGCCATTTTCATCCTAAATAAGAATAATATTAATTAGTCAACTAATCCAAACCGAGCATGAAAAACATTTGATATATATATATATGTAAAAAAAAATTGAAGTACTATTATTCTGGAAGAATTTAAATGGAAAATATAATTTATTTTCATTTTATTTAAGATAAAATTTATTTTCATGCGCCAGTTTGGTTAGCCGCTAAAATTAAATTGGCTAACCATACCTTTGCTTTAAGTGAATTATCCAAAAGACGTTCGTCAACACTGATATCATCTTCACGTACACGTTTATAAGGAGTTGACCGTCTGTTTTGTTGTTTATTCTTTTTATCAGAGTTGAAAGAATTGTTAAAACTGTTGTTACTGTTATCATATTGTTGTTCATTTACCTCCAATGATTTATTCTAAAATAATTGTTATGCGTTTTTATTTTTATAATAAAATAAAGTTTAAAATGAATGAACAAATTTGATGAATATAAATTATAATCAATCCATTTTATCCAAAAAAATTCTTCCAAAATAGTAAATATTAATTAAATATAAACCACTTACATTTCCTGCTTTCACAAATGGCTGATGTTTAATCTATAAAAAACAACAGAATGAATATTATAATACAGCTATTTTAATGATTACGCAAGGTTCTTCTTACTTGGCTGTTTGGTGTAGTAGGAGCTTTTGGAGTTTCTTCTTCCTCCTCGTCATCTTCATCAGAGTCTTCATCACTACTCTCTTCTGCAGTTTTAGTCACAATTGGTTTAGTCACAGCTAAAATTAAGTTTTAAGTTGGTAAAATTAACTAAATTAATATATTCAATATACACATAAATTTGAACAATTTCTAAATAACAATAAAGTTTCTCACTTTTCTTTGTAGGTTTAACTGTTGCTGGGGTTTCTTCATCATCAGAACTTTCCTCTTCAGAACTAGATTCTTGCTTAACATTCTTTGTAGGAGCAGCTGTAATATTTATATGGAATAAAAATATTTAAATAAATAAATGTAGGTAATTTGATTACAAATATAAATTAATTTAAACCTTTAGCAGGAATTTTAACCACAGTCTCTTCTTCAGAACTATCTTCTTCGGAACTTGATTCTGATTCAGTTTTTTTAACAGGTGGTTTGGGGACTACTTTAACAGGTGGCTTGGGGACTACTTTCACGGCTGGCTTTTCTTCTTCAGAACTATCCTCTTCCTCAGAACTAGATTCTTCCTTTGTATTTTTAACAGCCACTATGAAAAATTACAAAAACAAAAAATAAATAATTATTAATTCTTTAACTAATTAATATTAACCCTTTGATGAGCAATGATGTATATATATATATATATATATATGTTTTTAATGCTTTTTTTTTCAGGATGATAATTTATATTATAGTATAAAACAGCATTATAGGGACTATAGATGAATTATTTACTTTATTATATATGAACTAAATCAATTTATTTAATTATGTTATATAATTTTATAGTAAAATAAATAATAATTATGTCATCTCAATTTAATTTGTAGTTAGTGTTGCCTATCATATCATAGTTTAAAGGCGTCATTTTGATTATCACGCAATTTCAGTGTACACACTACTCGATGATAACTCATAATTACTATTTCATATTCCAATGTCAACAATTTTATTAAAAATATATATTTTAATTGCAATTTATTTCCTTTTAGTTAATAATAATTAGTTTTTATTGTGCTTTTGCTACAAATAAAAATGAGTCCATTAGATAAACAGACATAAAAAATTATAACTAATGAGTCTGAAGACGATAGTGCTAAAAATAAGACATAGTTATGTCATCGCTCAAGAATTTTATAATTTTTTTTTTAAATGATTCATTCCTAATCTGCTTTCTGTGTAGTCTGTATATTCCTAAGTCACTCCTCAAAGGGTTAATATAAAAACACATTTCTTAAAATAAATAACTTCTTAAATATCAAATGCTTAAATATATAGAATACATAATGCTAATTTTTTAAAACTTAATATGTAAGATAAATTGTTTAATTTTTAACTATTATAAAAGAAATGAAGGTAAAAAGTTGAATAATTAAAAAATTAAATTTCAGAATGCTGCTATTAGAGATCAATATATAAATATGTTAATGATAAATACGGCTTGCATAATTTTATAAACATAATATAAATACCTTTAGAAATAACCTTAATGTTATTTGCAGGCTTTTTTACTACAGTCTCTTCCTCGGAACTTTCTTCTTCTTCTGAACTAGATTCTTGTGCTTTTTTAACAGGCACCTGTACTGGTTTTTTAACTGTAGGTTTTTCTTCCTCAGAACTTTCTTCTTCAGAGCTTTCTTCATCAGATGATTCTTCAGTAGCCTTCTTTGCAGGTGGCATAATAACTGCTTTAGTTACAGGTTTTTTGGGAGCTGGAGTTTCTTCTTCTGAACTTTCTTCTTCTTCAGAACTTGATTCTTGTTTAGCAACAGGTTTTGCAGCTTGAACACATGCTGTTAAAAGTATATAAACAATTATATTAATAACTAATTATATTTTCATCTCTGATAAATGATTTTAAAGAATATATACTATTTAAAAATTGAATACATTTTCAGAAATGTATGAATGGTTTATACTAATAAAATCTCTAATAAAAAATAAAATGAAGTGTACCAAAATAATAATAATAATAAATAATTAACATTAACCAATTTCAAAAATGCTATTAAATTATATTAAAATTAATAAATGAGATGTTGAAAAAATTAATAATGCAAAATCTCAGTGAATTAGAAATTCTATATTTCTAATAAACTAGATTCTTTACTGCTTATCATATTATAATTTAAAACTAATAAAGTATTGTAATGTTAAAAATGTAGTAATCAAAATATAAATATATTATTATAGTTGATTTATCATAAATTCGTTAACCATTCCAACATAAATATTTACGTACAAAGTAGTACATACAAATAATGATTACAATGTCACTCATAAAAAATAATAACCTTTTTTGACAGGAGGTTCATCATCAGAACTTTCTTCTTCTGAACTATCGTCTTTCTTAGCCTTAGAACCATTAGTAGGTTTAATTTTAGGTTGAGGTTCGTCATCTGAGCTTTCTTCTTCGGATTCATCATCATCTGCTGGAGTTGCTTTACCATTACTCATTTTAATTATTTCATCTACAGCTAAACAAGAAAAATCATAAAATTATAAATAAACTTAACATTTCATAACACAACTACATAACTAACAATATAATATATATAATTTATTTACTGTAAAAGTATTATATATACAGTAAATAAATTAATAAATAAATAAAAATACTAAAAAATTATAATAATAAAAGTAATGATTTTACTCTTTCAGGCATGGTGGGATACTGCTTGTCACACCTCAAAAATCACATTTTCAGCACAATAGTACAAAAAATAACCAATCTAGTAAAGTATTTTTTTCCTGATAACTTGTATTTATAATTTTACAAATGATATAAGTAATTTAAATAGCCCATAACGTGTATATTAGTAACAAAATAAATCAAAAATTAATGCATTTTGAGTTATTATTAGCTATTTTTCAGGTTTTTTTTTTTTTACAACAACTAGACACTCATAATTTTGTTTGGCTTTTATTACACTATATAGTTTATGTATATGAACAGTATTATAACATATGATAGACTATATTATACAGTTTCATTCAGTGCAAGTTACATCATTTTATCGATAGCGGTTTGCCTGTCACTCAACACTTAATGCATGGTGGGACAAACGTCATCCCATTAACGATAACTCTTTAAAAAAATATTTTAATATTTTTTTAACATCAGTCTTATTATTTACTAGAATAATTTATTATACCACAAAAATAATTTTTTTAAAAAAAAAACTTTTGTGCAATATAGATCAAAATAGTTATGTAACCCCGTACATGAAAGAATTAAATCACATACAATGGTTTGACATGAAAGGAGAAATATCCAAGAAATACATTTTGGCATTAACCCTTGTTACGTAGAATTATTCTTAATCTTAATTTAGAAGTTCTTTTATCATTATTGCAGTCTAAGTGAATTATAAATATGAATATAGATTTAAGATTTTGAACATAGATGGATTGAAGATATAACATTTGGATAGTTTTAGCTATTCTGTAAAATAACGTTAATTTACAAAAATATAATAACTATTACAGAATACAATAGTTTTATGGCATTGTTGAAATATGATCTGTATAATAGTATTTAGACTATGAATGAGATTAGAAAATTATACAATTACATTTTAAATGACATAAATAAAAACTTACAAGGTCCTTTTTTTTGTAACTTAATTATCTTTTTCGTGGACCTGAAAAATTAAGTACATATAATTAATTAAATTATATGTATTTTAATAGATATAAACATACTTCAAGTGTTCATCAATAAGCTGAGATAATTTAGTTTGGCCTCTTTGCAATTTTGACTGAAAAATATTATAAAAAATAAAAATGTATATATATTGAACATAAAACTGATTTAATTATTTTAAAATGAAACTAATTTATTTTAACACATATTATTCATCACGAGATAATGCTAACTGAATTAGTTAGAAAAACTATTTGACGATTATATGGAGAAAAACAATGTTGATCAATTCAAACTTATAAGTTCAAGGCCACAATGGATTTGAGTATTTTTTAGACAAAAAATATTATCAATAAATAATATTAAATTATAATTTATAATAACAAATAATTAATTAAATTAATTAGGGAAACAATTTAGTAAAAATAATCGAAGTATTTAAACTGTCATATGATGAAATAATAAAATTTTATAATAGTATTCTTTAACAGAAACATAAAACTAGAATTAATTAATAACAATAAAAACAATGGTATCGTATTTTCTAAAAAAAAAAATAGTGATAGACACGTGGTTTTCATACAATGTATGTACGGACGAATAAAAAATGGTGTTCAATACTTACAGCTTTCGTCTTGTTTTGGAACATATTGGCCAAGTTTTGGTCCAATGAATTTAAATAGTCAAACACCAAAGCGTTCAAGGTTTCTGTACTCATTTTGATATTTGAATTAATATATTAGTAACAAAAACTTGTAGAGCGAGTAGTCAATTACGAAGAAAATACATATAAGTGATTTAGGCTGCGAAGGCGGCACGTAAAAGAAAATGGAATTGTTTATTTCGGCGCTGGTCTGCGATCCACGAGGTGACGAGTATGGTGGGTGGTAAAGTACAGTGTAACCAACGTTGGCGGTATAACAATATGAATAGATTCTCGACCATCAGTACATAACCACGTGCTGTACTAAAGGGGACCCCACGTGAGATCAGTATTTAATTTTCTAAAGACGTCAAAAACATCTACCAAACAATGTCAATGAAACCGTATCACTTGTATTGAGACAAAATGTCTTCAGCCGCTTCGCTAACTGCAATGCTTCTTTAAGAGTAATTTTTTCTTCGTCGACACTCGTTGTAACGTTTTCTATATCTTGTTCCACGTTGTATTCTTCATTCTCACTCATCGCAGTCTTCGCAGACCTGGCTCAAGTGTTTAAACAAATTAGTTTTTACCGCCCCTTACGTGTAAATATTTTATCATTTTGTTTTTTTTTTATACATAAACCTAACCGTCGTCGACGATAAACAATATTATAAGTGCATGCGTGTACAATACTTCAAAACTATGCGTATATGATACTGTCTTAATTTTCGTCGATAACAACTTGTTTCCTGAGAAAAGTACACGATTTGCGTATCGGGACTATATTATTTTTATTTATAGATAAAAAGTGATAGGTACTCGTAATACATAATTTGTGGGGCCTCATACAAGCGCGTGACCCTGTGCGATCGTACCGCTTGCTCCCCTATAGAAGCAACACTGCACCGTCAAAAAAATTGCAGAATTGAATTGGTTTATAAAAAAATGTACAATTAAATTAAGTTAAAAATATTAACTAAATATTAAATTTAGTATTAAGTTTAATTAATTTTCCAATAAAAAGGTGTTTCTTGTTCGCTGTTGTATGAATTTTATGTTAAATAATTTAAGTCTCCTCAGAATATTTACTACGAACCACTACTACACCAAAGCTTACATTTTGCATTTCTGCAACAATTTTTTCTAAAACAATTTATCTGTTGTTTATTTTTTATTTATTTTATTTTTTTTTTTTTTTTTTGTAGGTCGGTTAACCATTATTTGACAAAACTTCTTATTTCGAGTATACCTATATAAATTGCATAAATAGGTATCTCATCGAATCACTGCAGCATCTATTTTTCATAAAAATTCATACTACACATTTTTTAATGTAAAATGATATGATACAGAGCCCTCTCTACCCCTTCCATATGATTATAATTTTTAGTAATAGTTCTTTTTTATTAATCAAATTGTACATTATAATTAGTTAACTACCAATCTGTTATTATTTAAACTAAAAATATACTTTTGCCTGGTATAAATCTGAAAACTATTTACAAATTATTTATTTTAATGTGGATCTATAATTTAAAATGTGATAGATATATTTAAGTCCTCATCAGCAGTCTCACTTAAACTGGTTTCTTGAAAAACACCTTCAAAGTTGTTTTATTTAATAGTATTTAGTTGGTACACGATTCCAGTTTCTTATTACACACTTTGTGTCAAGTTCACTAAAAATTAGGGGCTGTATCACTGTTTTTCGAACATTTTTGTTGAATCTTAAACGATTTTAAAGAGTTCAAAAGATTCATTTTCGACAGCCCGCACTATTAAGTGTATTTTAGAATACGATTGTATTTATTGTTAAATGTGCCACTTCAAACAGCACATAATAATAATAATATAAATTATGATCCAGAAAAATGCCTCATATTTTATCATAAATTAATAAATCATACAGACTGAAAATGATAATTATAAATTAGGTATTAATCATTGCCTATTTACCTTACTTATTGCTTACCTACTTCATAGTGGTTTTAGAAAAAAACATTTAATATCAATTTGAAGTGTATATAAATATAGATTTAATTATTTAAATATTAAATACGTTATTAAAATTAAAGAAACGTAAAAAAAAACAATTTATATCATTTTTTAAACCATTGTAATTTAAAAAAAGATGTTTCAAAAATGTTTCACGGGTTCATTGGAAATTTAAGTAACTATCTTAAAATATTTAAAAGATGTATTTGCATGCTGTATAATCACTTTTAAACACTGAGAACCGAGAGACGTTTAATTTTATCAGGTATGCGAAATAGATATAAATATCAATGTATGTCTCTTTACTTGATATAGTATTAAGACATGCATTGATAGGCGAATTGCTTTATCGCATTATAATGTCCTACCATCTATAGATCGACTGTCACTTAATTTTGTACATTTTCTAAATTTGTACATTCTTCAGATTTACTAACTAAAGTGTAAATGTATCCTCCCAAACACCAGACACCCATCACCATAGTTAAATGAAGGGGCGAATTGCCCCATAAAAATACGTGTTCGGCGCCACTGCTCTGAATCTCATTACTATACTCGTACGTATACGCATCTACATGATCAAATACTTGTTCGTTCAAGGATTCGAGATAAACGGACGGGATCTCGGAAGTAAAATATGGCAAAGGTAGATCGGGTTTAACACGTTGAGTGCTGAACGTCGACATTAGTCGATTAAAACATCGTTTATTGTATAAATGATAAAATAAAATACACACTTATACACTTGTACACGAATAAACGTGTCCGTCGGACAAAAAGTTGTAATGTTACTAAAACTCTTGTCCGACGATTATAAAATCGTTTTTATTATGATTATTATTATTTTGGCATATATTCTTCTGTATTCCACCAGTCCTAGAGCCACGAGAGCGATGTTTCGGGCGGCGTTGACGTCCCGATTCCAAGTGATTCCACATTTTCGGCAAAATTGGAACCTGTGATCGTGGCGTCGCTTGTCGTCTCCGGAAGCTATTGGCGACGTATTCTTGTGTTTCGGAGGTAGAGCCATGCGTCCCGTACACCTTGAACAGCACTGCGTGGTCATGTACTCGTCCGAGTCCATGGTCGCGCAGCGATCTCGCCGACGGTGAAAAGCCCGACGCAACGAGCACACGGCTGGCTTCCGGTTCGCGCCGTAGCTCACGCCGTCCCGTAGCGACCCGTCTCCGAAACACACCAGTACGGGCTCTTTGGTTTCCGTCATACCCAAAAGCCGCTGGACTAACGAATCTTCGGCGCTACGTTTACACATTTTAGCGTACCACGTTAGTTTTACCAGTTTGTGCCGCGAATACGCCAAATGCGAGCTTTCGTGATGCCACTAACGATACGCGGTAAACGCCAAAGTGTCGCCATCTATAGCTTTCGCAACACTTTGACGACGTGTTTTTAAATGTTTTTCGATGTTCCAAAAGTTGGCGTTCGAGTCTCTTGTTGTTGTAGTTCATTCGTATAGTTTGCATGTGCTCTCCTGTTTTCTATGATTTTTTTGGAATGATAGACAATAGTTAGTAAAAATGTAAAAGTAAAAATAGCTATTATGAGATAAAGTATATAGCTATGAAGAAACCGGTTTTTTTCTAGATTTAGCATATTTTTCTTATTTTCAAATAGTTGATGAAGTTCTTCTCGTGATTTTGCAATAAAATCTAAATCATCCATGTGATTGTTTATGACATCTTCATCGTTTAATATTATGTCAATTGATTGTGTTACGCTTATATTATCCTTTATTTTTGAGTTAGGTATAGAGTCTAAGTATTCCACGGCATGGTCTATTTTTCCTGGTACAAGGACGTCTCTGGATCCGTAACCCCGACAAGTTTCATTTAAAGTGAGTATGCCTACTCCCTCTAAAGTATGTGTTGTCGATTCTTTGTCATTTTCACATGCCACGAAAATTGCTTCGTTATCTGTTGCATATAACCACTTGTTTTGGCAGTTGAGTTTGTGAAAAAGTCGTGTATATTGGATTTCTTTGATATTACAAATGTCGGGCACTTCTTTTGGATTTTGTAAGAGTTGTACCTCGCAAGTTGGTCTTAGTGTCCTTGGATGAAGAGATTTGATTTCGGGACATAAAAGGAAACCTCAAGCATATTTACATTGTGAATAGTTAAAATCGTTACACGTAGTATAGTGTTCTTTTGTCTACTTACTGCTAAATATCTATGACTAGGTTTAATAATCATACAATTAATTTGGTTACATACAGGTTTAGGTAAAAGGTGATACAATATAAAATCATTTTGATGTATTAATGGTATCGTTAGTACAAAGACAATGTTGTTATTTGAATAGTATACTGTTAAGTCTGAGAGTTTAGTTAAGTCGTAAATAGTATCTGGATTTAGAGAGTAAGGTAAATCTGTACCTGTTGGTAAAGATATTTTAATGTCTTGAAAAAAAATGAATAGTTCTGGTAGGCTTATTAAATATGGGTATATTTTACCAATTTTGGCACTTTTAATGATATTAAATAATAAACCTAACTCAGATATGTGTTTTGTTAATAATAAACTCATATAGGTAAAATGTTTCTGAATAAAGTTTAAAATTTGTTGTTCTATGGTTACGTTTTGTACTTCACTAATTGCAAGTTTGATATCGTAGTATTCGTGGTCGTTGAAATCATGTCTGAGTTAGACTACCTTAGATTGTTCGGGGACAAATTTTGTGTTTGTTGTACCCCCTGCTAAAAGTTTTGCGATACCAAAATCGAATTTCTTGATACACTCTATATCGCATAGCCCATAAATGGTTTGTGCGATTTTACCCATTGTACCAATTATACTACGTTTGGATACATGATATTCATGTCCTTTTTATGAGAAAATTAAGTCTCGTTTTTGTTTACATTGTTTTGCAATGCTATTTACTAAAAATAGTAAATGATTACAATTTGCGTCAAGGTTATGACTGATATTTCTACATGCTTGTTCGGTTTTAGCAAGATAGGTATCTATAAATTCCCATTGTTGTGTGTATTTATCAAGATCTATATAAGTAGTTAGGTCCCATTTCGATGTGATTATATTGACTAGACCTCTGTTCTCATAGTATAATCCTGCCGTTTGGTTAAGTTTTTCGTCCATAATTCGAGAAGTACTGGCGACGAGTTGAAAGTACGTAAGTGTGAGTAAAAATCTGAAAAAATGCTGAAAAAATAATAGTATTAAATTTAGGGTGTTCTAATACTCATTAAATTATTAACCCTCCGTTGGGCACATGAGTCTGGCTAGACCTTTTCTGATTTTAATTACAGTTGAATTATATTTTTAAATAAGATAGCGACTTAAAATTTTGTGTACCCTCCTACAGTGTTATTTACTATTACTCTATGAAAAAAAATATTGGGAAAACCCAATGTATAGATAGTTATAAGAATATTATGGTATACATATCATATTCGTGCCACATGAGTCTAGCCAGACTCGTTTATATTATACATGACAAATAATATATTTATACACATTTTATCGTTGTTTTTATCATTAGAATCAGTTTAGTGCATTCATGTGAACAAAAAACACGACGCGTAATTGTTTACTGAGTATATTTTGTGGTAAATTAATTTTTTTTTAGTTTTATACTTCTAAAAATTTGATTTTTTTGTTCAAAATGAACTTTGAAAATGAAGTGGAATTTATTTATAATACGCGATCACGCGACGGTCATATTGATACAGCATTTTATGAAAGATTAGCAACAGCTTTGGTGAATGATATTGAACGTGAAAGAAATGTTGAAGAGAGCGAAGAAATTGACGAAATCGAATTATTTCCTGCCGACGATGACGATTGTGATGTTGATTATGTACCAAACGAAGATGATGCATCAGATATTGAGAATGAAGTGATTATCGAACCAAATGATTTAGTTGACAGTGATGAAGAATTTACGGAGTCTGAAACTCAAAACTTATGTACGAGTACTTCTGAAGAGTGTTTCTATGGTAAAGACGGTACAAAATGGGAAAAAAATGAACCAAACACTGGTGTTCGCATTCGTCAACACAATGTTATGCGTTTTAGAAGTGGACCTAAGGAACGAAATTCTGTCCCAATTGAGGTATTCAAAAAGTTTTTTACTCGTGATATTGCATTCATTATCATCACTGAAACGAATCGTTATGGAAAAGATTCAATACAAAAATGGAATGCGTCTAATCCGGGTCGAAAAAAAAAAGTTTGGAAGGATGTCACTGAGAGTGAATTAGACGCGTTTATTGGAATACTTTTGGCAGCTGGTGTTTCACATAATAACACACAAAAATCAGAAGTTTTGTGGCGTACAGATGGCCTACCGATATTCAGAGCAGCTATGTCTCATAAACGTTTCCTTTTATTGACAAGATACATTAGGTTTGATGATGGACGCACACGTCCATTCCGTTTGCAAAGTGATAAGGCCGCACCTATTCGTGATATTTGGAATTATATGAATGAAAATCTAGCAAAAAACTATAGTCCATATGAAAATATAACTATTGATGAACAGCTCTTTCCATATCGTGGTAAAACCAAATTTACTCAATATATACCATCAAAACCAGCCAAATATGGTATAAAAATTTGGTGGGCCTGTGATTCGAAAACAAAATATCCATTACAAGGAAAACTATTTACAGGTTGGCAAGAAGGAAATGAACGTGAAACGAATCAAGGTGAGAATGTCATGCTACAACTCGCAAAATCATATAGTAACAGCGGCCGTACAATTATCGCAGATAATTTTTTTACAACATTAGAAGGCGCAAAGCGACTAACCAAAATCGGTCTTGCATTCGTTGGTACCATTAGGTCTAACAAAAGATGTATCCCTGAAGAAATGAGAAAACATCCTTCACGTCCAGTTTTGTCATCTCGTTTTGGATTTAATGATAATTTGGTTTCAATTTGCAGCTACGTGCCAAAAAAAAATAAATGTGTAAATTTGCTTTCTACCGTACACTATACAAAATATTGTGAAGGTGAAGCCAAAAAACCCGAAGCAATTTTATTTTATAACAAAAATAATGGAGGCGTCGATTGCATGGACCAAATGGTTACTCATTTTACATCAAAACGAGCCACAAAAAGATGGATTTTTGCATTTTTTTTGTAACATGTTAGATGTTATGGCATTGGCTGCATTTTGTATTTGCAAAGAAATTGATGGCACCAAAAAATCTGATGCAAGACGGAATTTTTTATGGATGTTATCTAACACTTTGGCTCTTCCAAATATTGAACAAAGAATGCAAAATGTTCACATCAACAAACAGTTTAGTTCTCGTTCGGCTTTTGAATCGTTTTTTGGAAGACCAATGAATGTAAGTATTCATATTCAATTACATTTATATTTGCCGTTTAGCTTCTTGTCTCATTTTTTCTGTTTTCGTTTCTTCTTTTGTATCAGACCACATCAGAAATAGTAACTAGCGTTAGCGGAGCTGATACATTCGATAAAAAAAAATATTGTAAAATTTGTTCTCAAGGAAATGAAAAAATGCGGCGAAAAACTCATTTCTTTTGTACAAAATGTTTAAGTGCAGTATGCCAACAACACTCAAAAGTAGAATATATATGTTTTAGTTGTGTTAAAGAAACAAAATAAAATATAGTATGTAAAAACAAAATTAAGTATTATTTTCACTTTTCACGATTTTTTTCTTAATTCTTTATCTTTATACAAATAATTCGAAACGTAAAATATGTAATAAATTAAAAAAAATTAAAATAATTTCTTACATGGTATATAAATAAGTTACAAAAATGTAATACATGCGTTTAAAGACAGAAAAAAGTTTATGGGTCTGGTCAGACTCATGTGCCACGAATATGTTTCTCGGGATATGTGCTCAACAGAGGGTTAAATATGCATCGCGTCCAAATAACGTCGGTACAGGGATCATGTTCTTCGTGTTTTAATTTGCACACAAGATTGTGGGCTTCCTGTAGACTAAGTGATCGTCCATTTTTTTTATAATGCCCGATTGGACACTCGGCTATTACTAGTTTATTGTTTAGTAATTGAATGAAAAAGTTATTGTCCCCGTATATGTCCCAGACTCTTAAGTTAAGAATAGGATTTGTAATATTCAATTGTTGTAATATATAAATATCGGAACTACCTTGCCATACTATAATTAAATTGTCCCATGTCCCCAGGTTCATGTAGTTATTCGTAAAATCGCGAGTTAAGTTCGGTTTTAGGGCGTGTTGGCTGTCATATACTTGTGCTAAGATATGGCTGCCCCTTAAAAATACGTGCTGTTCTTAATACCGCACAATTAACCTGATTGGTAGTTGTTATCTCGATTTTATTTGTGATACCAGTAAGATGTAATATTTTGCCTATATTAAACAAAATAATTCCATAATCAATGATTAATAATGTTATCAGTGTTATCATTAAATAAAAAAAAATCTATACTGCAGTTGCTCTAAAATAAAAATTATTAAAGTATAAAACTAATAGATCTGATATTTTGAAATTCCCTTAATTTATTAATATTTACATAAATATTATTAATTTTATGATGATAGTGTAAATTTAATGTTATAAACAATTACTCCAAATATTTCTATTAAACTTGCTTAAATTTAATAGAATTATTGTCTCTAATTAATTTTAACATGGAGATTTCAATGGCTTCAACTGACAGTGTTAAAGTGTTGATTGTTGGAGATTCTGGTAATTTTTCTTAATCAACATTAATATTTACAAATCATATTATGAATATGTTGAAAAATAATTCCTGTTCATACAAATTTAATATAATAATAGGGTTTGGCTACTTTCCTACTAGTTCTCCGATTGCTGTTTATGAATCTTTTATCGAGTCAGTCCAATCTGCTCTCTCATCCAACAATGACTGTACCTTAATTATCTATGATGATTTCATTCTTCCAAGCTTCCTGTTTAGCGATAAATTAGGCCTCTTTTATACTTATATGTCCAGTCACTGTATTCTAGAATCATTTACATTCTTTAAATTTTTTCTATTTAACAACAAAACTCACACTCATGGTTAATCATGGTTAAGCTTCTGGATTTAATATTTTCCAATAATAATACCATTCAAAATAATAAATCTAATGCTACTGTCCCATACAACCCTTTCCACCCAACACTAGATATATTATTCTCAAATGAATGAGGTGCCAACTTTAAATGTTTTTCATAATTACTATAACTTTGACAAAGCCAACAATCCAGGAATTTTAAATTACCTTGGGAAGTTAAATTAGATAGAGACAATAAAACTACTCGACATTGATTCTGCTGCTAGTGCCCAATATGATACATAACATTAATGCTTCTTTATCCCAGTATCATGGTATGTAAAGTCTATCTTCTGAATAGGTTTTTCAAAAAACCTTAAATCAATTGTCCTGGCTAAAAGACTATCACGTGCCTTTTTAAAATCTTCTAATCATCCATATTACTATGCCCAGTTATAAATCTGAATCCAAGAAATGTCAAAAAGACATACTCTTTACTTATTAATGTTATCAAAGAAATAATTCCAAGCTGCAATAACCTTGCATTTTTGGATGACTTAAAAATCTACTGTTGAATATGAGTAAATGCCAATCCATGCCATTCACCCAACGTTGTTTTCCAATTAGCAGCACTTACTGAATAACTATAAAACTATACCATCTGTCAACTGCAAAAAAGACCTGGGTGTTCTCTTATACCTAAACCTTAGTTCTTACATTTTATCAATATTTTGCAAGGCTTATAGACTCTGGGGTTCATAAAACAGGTATTGTCCAATTTTAAACTCACTACTATAAAGAAGGCCTTTTATAGCTCATTATTTTGGTCTGATTGAATATGGATCCCCATATAGCTTCAGACTCCCCTATCTTAGAGTGAGTCCAAAAGTTTTTTATCCTAACCTATAATATACTAAATATTCCCCACTCCTTAAATGACTACTTTCCACTTCACCATTAACTAAGTCTATTAACTTTGAATGATAGAAAAATAAATATCAATATAAGGTTCCTTCTTAAACTTATAGACGGTTCTGCTGATGCTATTTTGCTCCTTTCCTCTATGAACTTTCTTGTCCCTCTATATACAACTCACTCTATTGCTCAGTTTTATATTCCTAAACAATATACAACTATTAATAATAGTCAGAGTAATCCAATTGACCAATTAATGTGCAAAGTCAACAATCATCCTTCATTTTTGCTGTTATCTTACCTAGTACCATCTTACATTGAACTCATACTATTTGTAAATACCTACTACTGTACTTTAGGACAAGCCCGTATTTAATTAAAATAAATAAATAAATAATTATAACCTAGACTGAATTATATTGCATGAAATTGATATTGAAACAAATAGGAGCCAGAAAAAATTATTAAGTTAAAATATATTTTGATATAAATTCAAAATTATACTAATACACATATACTGGTAATAAGAAATTCATCGTTCAAAATTACCTAAATAATTCAATAAATATTAACATCATAATAACTAATTAAGTAATTAATATTGGTAAAAAATATAATTTTTATAGCTTTTATTTTTTATTTCACTTATATCTATTTAGCTAAAATTAGATGCATATTTTTTTTATTACTTTAAGCTTTTTATATTTACATATAATCAACATAATTTATAACAATTAAATTTATTTTAAGTTTTAATAGTTATATAATATACATGTATATTTTCAGGAGTTGGAAAAACATGTTTAGTGAATCTTATTAGCAATAATAAAGCAGTGAAAAATCCAAAATGGACAGTTGGAGTAACAGTTGAAATAAAACTGTATAAATATATGGAAGGAACACCAAGACAACGAAATTGTTTTGTAGAAATGTGGGATATTGGAGGAAGTTCAAATCACAAAAATACTAGGGATATGTTTTATAATACTATACATGGTATAAATATTTTAATAAATAGTTGATAACAAAACTAATAGACTTTTTTAATAGGTATAATTCTTGTATATGATTTAACTAATCTTAAATCTAGTGAAAATTTACACAAGTGGTTGGCAGAAATTTTGAATAAAGATAATAATTCAAAGTATAAATGTACAGATGGATTTGATATGGAACAGCTAGTTGGCTCAAATAGAGTAAGTATGATTTTGGTAAAATTAAATTATAAATATAATAATACATTTACAGAGATTATTTAGTTATGAGCAACTTTTGTTTATTTTGGGTTCGTCCTAACATAAGCTGAGTCCAATGTAGTCATTCCCACAAACTGGTTTACTTAACTCAATGGCATAATTTAATTTGTAAATATTGTATAACTTATTTGTATATTGTAAAATTTTGTTATTGTACTTTGTAAATAAATATGTAAGTTAAACCAAGTAATTTTACTAGTTAAACATTATATATATAAAAATGATATAAAAATATTATGTATATAAATATTCAAATTTTACATACCTATGTTTAGATAATATACATCAGAAAAACTTTAAAACTATGTATAAAAAAAAAGTTTTGTTCAATTAAAATGTCTTTGTTTGAAAAAAATATAATATTTATATTCAAAATATAATACTTAAATAAATTTCATTAAATATATTAGTGAGAACACACAAGGGATGAATTTTCAATATTTTAGTCTATAAAAAAAAAAAAAAATAAACGGTGAATTAAATTTGATTTTCACCATGTAATATAAGATAATTTTAACCATTGAAAATGTTAGAAAACAACTATTTTCTAATTTAAATTTTGTTTTTTAAATCAATGTTGTAAATTTTACCTTTTCTATTAGAGAATTATAAATAATTATATTAAAGTTAATTTATTTTTAATTATAAATTAATATATATTATTATTATGTATATAATATTTATTATTAACACATATTATAATTCATTATATTTTTAATTGTTTTGTAGAAATATATACATTTAAAGTATATCCCTTAATTGGTAAAATGTTAATATAAAAATATCATCAAAGAAGTCAAACTCCTTTAATTTTTCAAAGCTAATTTTTATTTATTTTTGCAAAATATATGTAATAAGTAAGATACTTTCTAAGGCTTAAGAAAAAATCAAGAATATATATTTAATTGTATTAATTAGTGTCTTTTTAAATATTTAAGATTTTAATTATTATAATTAAATTTAATAGGTACCTATTTTAGTCTGTGGTACTAAATTGGATATGGCTCCTGAACGTGGTAAGAAATCACCTTCTACTGTTGCTGCAGAATGTGGCGCTGATGAAATATTAATTGTGAATATTAATATGAATAATAAATTTATATGATATAAACTATATAAAATGTACTACTCTATATTTGTTTTCAGAATTGTCATGACTCAAAATCATTGGAACCAAATACAGTTGCAACTTCAAAGTTAAATAATTTTTTAGACAGAGTGATACAAACAAAATATCCGATTAGTAACTCTAGTCCATTCAGTCAAGGTATTTATTCAAGACAACATCAATATCCATCACCCAAAATTCCACAGTATCCAATAACTAGACAGATAATATATGATGATTTGCCAACAATTAGTAAAAATACATTTTTCCATAATAAAACAATACATAAAGACTAAATCATTTACTATTTACATTTATTATAATTTAATACAAAACCTTAAATTTGTAATACAAAATAAAAGTATAATTAAATAATAAATATTACATAAATGTTAAATGTTTAATTTGGTAATCACCTTAATCTATGGTTTAAATAAAATTTGAATAGATATCCTACTCAGAATTGTTCAAAATTATAAATATATTTTTTCTCTGTCAAGATAACAGTAAGTATAAGTATGACATTTGTCTACATTATTTGAAAAAATGCTGTTAGTTAAGGGAAACATAATGAGAAAATTATACTAGACTCTTATTAAATTATATGCATTTTAGAGTTTAAGTATAATTTAATTATTAAAATCATTAAGTATAGTCTAGAAAGACAATATCTTTACAAAAAAAAGTATACTTCTTTAATAGGTAAAATAAGAACATGGTTTGTAAAGCATTCTATTCACCACTTAAATTAATATATATTTTTTAACAAAATAGTCTCTTTTTAGAAATTTAACTTAATGGTAACACATGGAAATTATTATTTTGGTATTTAAAACTATAGACCCCAACTTAAAAATACAAAGGAACTTTCTGAAATACCTTGTTACACTATTAATATGGTTTATATCGTTGATCTGCATTTTCTCTTCGCCTAGAAGACGATAGTATCTTTTTTATTGTGGTCCAATCTTCAAGTATTTCATGTTCTTTAAGCATGTAGACTATACATGGCCCAGAAATAATGACAGGTTTGCGTTTTGGTTGTACATGTCCATAAGGACGGCGACCACGTCCCCGTCCACTTCGTGTTAAGCTACGACCTAACCAAAGTGAAGCATCTATATCAACTTCATTGCGTGCTTCTTCTAATCGTTGAATTTTTTCTTCTAAATCAGCTTTAATTGTATCATACAAAATTTCTTTATTATTCTGAAATTTTAATATAGGCTTTAATATAAATTAAGTAAATTTTCCAATTTCAAATGATATTACCTCAAAATTTTGTCTTATTGCTTGTTCTTCTGCTTCATATTTATGTTTTAAATTTGCTAATTTAAATTGTCTTAACACAGAAGCGACTTCAAGTCGAGACTTCATTTGATCTTGCAATTCTTGTAAAGGAATACGATATTCTTTAGCTGTACCTAGTCTAACTTCAACCAACTTCTCTTCAACTTCTCTTATTCTTTCTTTGTACAACCTAGACCAAAAATGTGTTTAAATACATTTAAAAATAAATATCTCAAAAATGATTAATATGCATTACTAACATTTCTTTTAATAAATAAAAACCACTTTCGATTTCTCGTAATTTTTCGTCACACCTTTTCTGTTCTTTTTCGTTTTCGTCTTCGTCCAAATCTAAAAATAAAAATTTAATTAAGTTCAAATTCATATTTATTATAAATACATTTTTCATAAATAATTTAATAATTTATATTAATAGTTTTACCTGAACTATTGTCAGTGTCTGTATCTGAACTACTTGAATCTGAGGAACTACTAGAGGATGATGCTGATATTTCAGAGAGTTTTTTCCTATCGTATGAAATTTCCAAAACTTTTTCAGTAACAACGGTTACAGCCTTATGTACTGTATCTTCTGATCCAATTTCTTCGTGTTTTTCAGATATATTCTGAATTCGACTAACAATTATATCTGAATTATCACTACTAAAAAAAATATTGATCAGCAATAGTTATTTTATTTGTATACGTATATACAATTAACAAACACTTAATTAAATAAAATAAATATTTAAATTTGATTAAATAAGAACAATAAAAATTTAATTGATTTGAATGATAATATGATATTAAAAATGTAAGAAATTAATATATTAAAAATCAATTTCTATAAATTATTATTATTAAAATATAAATAAATTAAAAATGTATTTGTAATTTAATTTCTATTATCTCATATATGTTATATTTAAGTAGCGGAAAAATAGATTTATCAAATATAAAGCCTATTATAACTTTTTAGATAAGTAATAAAAAAAAAATAGTTTTTACCTTGTAACAGTAGACATTGTTAGTGATCCAGGATTTTTACTTAATTGACGCGTAATACATTGGTCTAAAATTATTTTTCAACATACACATTTATAGTTAATTTTAATAATGTACACATTTAATTTTCTTTGAAAAAAAAGTAACGTGCATACACAGTACACTCAAGTTTCAGTATTTTTTTTTTTTAATAAAAAAAACTACTTATAGGTATCTTAAAAGAGACAAAATATTTAACAAAAATAACATTTTAAAACTAATGCAGTTTTTAAGTACAATTTAACAATAAAGAAAAACGTTAAAAAAAAATTTGCTACCTTAGATGTAAAGAGAAAACTAAGAAAAATTTGTTTACTAACTACAAAACAGTGTTACAACTGAAATAAATTATCTCTGATAACGGATATTTATGAAAGTTTTCACTACGAAATACTATAGAATGACTTAACTACGGATCCAGAGAACCAATAGAAACAAGTAGCCATTTAAACGGTTATTGGTTTATCTTGGCATTCTGTGATAGGTAGCCATAGAGTAATACTATAGGTAGCATAATCTCAAAATCGGTGTATAAAATGTTATCAGTATAAAATTCATGGTATCAAAAGTACAATGATAACAATTGAAATTCTCCAATTGACTGATTCACGTGTTATTGAGGTGATATACGGTTTATTATTATGTTCTACGGATTACTAAACCGCTCAGTATATTAATCATTTTTTTTTTGTACTATTTAGAATTTTCTATAGAGTGTTGACCAAAATCAAAAAACAGGGTCCAAAATGTCGAATCCAGCATGGGCTGATGCTATGAGCAAAATATTGAAAACCAAGAAACGGAAAGGAAAATCATTAATATTATCCAAAGCAAAAATAATTTCTGCAACCGATTTAAATAAAATAAAAAAAGAAAAAGAGGATATAGTGGATTCGTTTGAAGTTGTAGATGAAGGTGGTCAAAAAGTTGTTCTGCCTGTTCATGTTGATGATGTTAAAGAAGAAAAATTAGATTTAGAAAATTCAGAACCTAAAATATCTAATCGAATTCGAGTATGTGGTTATTTTTATAATATATTTGTTATGTTTTACATCAAGTCTATCTGTTTTTTTTAAGAATTTATTTTTAGTCAGCAATTTTTATTTTAGTTACATAATATTACTATTGGTATATGCATCTAGATAATTTATTTTAAGATGTAATAAGCCATTCAATTTAATGTTTAACAACTAATGTATAAAATCATTTTTTCTATATAATTGTTTTTAATGTAAAACTGAAATAATATGTAATAATGTTTTCAGATCAGAGACCAAGTTTTAATGGGAAGACAAAAACCTTCTGTCAGTGATAGAGTTAAAGAAAAGAATTTATCCAAAATTGCTACTAAGTAAGTTGCTTTCATCTCAATTTTAATCTGAATCACTATTTTATTTATAATTCACACTAAAATGTTATAGAGGTGTTGTTCAATTATTCAATTTGGTAAAACAGCAACAAAGAACTGTAGAAAAAAAATTAAAAGATGTAGGACCATCACTTTTAAAACAAGATAAAGTCTTGGAATCTCTGGATAAAAAATCATTTATAGATTCCATTGATCATAGAAAAGTAAATATATTAATTTTTACTTATGATAAAAAAAAAAAAAACACATAATATTATTTAACCATGTATTAGGAAAATGATGAAGTTGGATGGGATGTTCTTCGTGATGATTTTATGGGTGGAACTAAAATTAAAGATTGGGACAAGCAATTAGAAAACAATAGTGAAGATGATGAAATTAATATTTAAGAGGAATTAATACTTTAATTTGTACAAATAAAAATATATAGTACTATATCTAATTTATGAAAAGGTATTTGTAAATTCATTGTTGAAATATTTAAGTGTTTAAATAAAATTCAATTTTTACACATTTGAAGTTAAAAATGTACTAATCAGTATCTTCCAACTCATGGTTTGTTGTAGTGCATTCTAAATAGTCCTACATAGAATAAAATCATTTACTACACATTAAATATTATTAATTCATTTATTTTATAAAATTCAATTTAACAATTTATTCTACCTAGATCTAAATTCTTATGGTTTTTTTACATTTCTGTACATATTACAAATGTGTCCTTCAATAATTTTAACTTGGTTAAATATGCACAGTTAATATATACAGACTTCCTAAAATATTGTATACCATTGATATCAGTAGCAGATTGGCCTGCCGGGAAAGTCCCCAGTTGGCCGGTAGTCATATTATAACACTAGGTTGAAGTATTTGTATTAAAAATAATTTATTTAAGTTTATTGTATTTAATTGTAAAATTGTGATAAAAACCTAGTGTAAACATGATGTTAACAGTTGTACGAGCAATTAATCCATGAATAAATGAGACTTTTATGGAAAATTATTATTATTGGATGGTGGGCCGGTCTTACGGTAATTTCCCGGACCGGAATGTTTAGCCAATCCGCTGCTGATTGGTATAAATTATTGAGATTTACAGAGAATTATTCAGATTAACATAAGTATGAACATAATTAATTTTACTTTTGCTGTTTAAATTAATTTAACAAAAAAACGCATCACATCTGTGGAAATATTTTTTTATAATTATATTGTTGCTAGGTATAGAAAAATAAAACAATTGTTTAAATATCAACTGTTTTTTAATCAACAATCCTTTTAACATCATAGGTTTATACCAATATTTAATTATTAACTTGATATTTTTAGAAAATATGACTTCAATTAAAAGTAGAACCGAAAAATCATTTAATTTTCGATTTCCAACCGTTTTTGAATACAGCATTGGTCAACGATACGCTAAACTCAAGAATGAATGTAGACAATATTATTCAAAGAATAAAGTTTTCATCAATAATGGAGATACATTTAATGGAAAATATATTATTAAATACTTTAAAAAAACTCAAAATATTGAAGAATTTGTTGTCAACAATAATAGATCAACCCATAATAATTCACTAAAAAAAATTGGTAATCATACTAGAGAACTTCTTAAAATAGTTGATGAGGCAACGTTAACAAAAAATATTAATATCATAAGCAGTATAAAATTTCTGACAAAACAAAAATATGAAGAATTTTTAGACCAATACTCAAATGTAAAGAAAATTAATTACTTAAAAAACAATTTTAATGAATTTGCAATGTCTTCCAAATCAAATTTTATGCCAATTCAACATTCTAAATTAAAATTTGAAAGAAATAATTTTTATTTCAAAATCATGACATCTTTGTATGATAAACAATTTAATGAGATTAAACATATGAAAAATTGTGAAATTATAAAAAAACAGGAAATTCCATTTAAGTTAATGCAATGCAGTGTTGTTATATTTGATATTACAAATTATTCAGAATATGAATTACACCAAGCTAGAATGTCTTTTAATTATATATTCAATGAATTAATAAAATATAACGATGAGGAAATACTAAAATCTAAAAAAAATGGAATTATAAGAAAGTTTATATTAATATCAACAGCTATGACTTGGGTTAAGAAAAATAATCATCAAACAGGCGAAGAACAAGAATCAGATTTTGTAACTACACAAGAAAGTATTTTAGAACGATTACCTTTAACTAAATATCAGAACATATTTGAATTTGAGAAATTAATGTTAAAATCAAATTCGTCAAAAATTAAAGATATTTTTAAAACATATATAATTGGTACTGGAATTACTTATGGCCATGAAGAAAGTGCTTTTCATCACGTTTTCAAAAGTGCTTTGATCAATCCTAAAGAAATATTTATTTCAATTTTAAATCATAGAGTACCCATGTTTCACATAGATGAGTTAGCCAAGTTAGTTTTTATTATATCTAAGTATGATGATCGTGTTAGAGGCAACTATGTATTAGCCATTGAACAAAAATCTTATGGTTTTAATAATATAATAAAATCATTATGCAATGAATCTTGTAGTTCACATTTGGTTTTAAAAGAAGACCATTTAATTATAAGAAAATATAAGTTTGACGATTTTACATGGGATTTAATATGCAGTGATTTAATCATTGATCCCATGTTAGACATAATTATACCTGATTATCATATACGTAGAACATCAATAGTATCTAATATGAAAGAATCAATTAGTGAATTTGTAGAAGCAAACAATTTTTATTTAATAAAATTAATAGTATCAGGACAAGTACAACATGTTGTTAATGATATTGCAAAAATTCTAGCTCAATATTATCAAGTAAAACTGGTTAATGTTCCTGATTTAATAAATAATTATTTAACAATGTTGAGGACTAATCAAAATGAATTTGAGTTAAAAATTAATGATTTTTATGAAAAACGCAAAAATATCATACATTCATTAAATAATTTCATTGATCAATTCAAAAATGAAAGTTTTGAACAAATTAATGAAGCTTTTAAGATAAAAAAATATTCTTCTACTGAAAAAATTATGGAAGATAGTAATCAAACATTTGCTGTTAGAGAAACTTCAGGAATAAGCATAAAAACTAAAAGCACAGAGTTAGAATATACTGATTATTTCCAAGAAGGTACTAATGAACAATATATACAAATTAAAAATGATCTATTTGAAGTAGAAAAGGATATCATTAATATCCAACACATGATAAAAAATTTGAAAGATAAATATGATGAATATGAAAATAATATGAGTAGAAATCAAGGAGAGTTAGATTATCATTTCTTGTTACCATTAATTAAAGAATCACTCTCTTCTTGTCATAATCAAGGATATGTACTTGATATATTTCCTTTATCCTATGAACAAATAGAATTTATTTTTGACAAAGTTATTGAAAATCCAAATTTTATTATTTTGCTTTCAACAAATACAAGTATTTCAACAACTATTAAAAAAAATTGTACTTCTATACATAACATTTATGAATACCAAGTAAAAAATATGCATGTTAATCATAAAACTACAAGTAGATATGAAGTAACAACAACAAATTATATACGAGATTACTTCATGGATAAAAATGTTAAAATATTAAAACTGGATGTTCCATTAGAATTAACAACTGGAAAAATGACTGACTTACAATATAATCATTATATGAATTCTATAACAACTCAAATTGGACATACACATAACAAAATTGATTTACAAGAAATTATTAAAAACTTAAGACAAAAAACAATAACAAACACTCTGAAGAAATCAAATACCATATTCAATAAATTGAAAATAATGAAGGAACAGTGGGAAAATAATATTATTGCAAATCAAAAATCTAAGGAAAAACAAGAAAATAGAATGTCAGTAAATACTCGTACATATTTAAGATTAAATTTTTTACCAGTACTCATGAAAGAAATATGTTTGATTGATAATGGAGCTATTTAAGTTTAAAAGTTTCCAAAAAGAACATTGAATTAAATCAAATTATGTGATACTCAAATACATGAAAAATAAACACATAAAAAAATAATATTAAATACAATTTAATAAAACAAAAAAAAATTATATTACCAATGCTATTAATAATAAATACTGGAAAATTATTTAACATACTAATATTTAGAGTAATTATTTCAGCTATTCAATTCATAACTGTATTTAATGATTTAATGAAGAATAAAATATGTTATTTGGGATAACAAATTTTAGGAATAAATTTGTTAATTTTTTCTTATCTGTAAACTCATTTAAAAAAAAAAAAAAAAAAATTATAAGAGGAAAAAAATAAGTTTTATATAATAAAATCTAAATATTAAGAACTACTACAAGTGAACAATGCTAAGAATTTTTATTGCACATACTTAATGTCATTACATATAAACAGTTTGTTTCTATACTTTTCAGCATAAATTAGTTTATATTTTCTAACCGGTAAAAATAGTTATTTACTTATGAATATTACAAACCATTAAACATTAGTATAATAGGAATGATAAATTAATAAAATATTTCATGGTTCTTTTCAAACGTTTTTAAATGCAGAAAATTTTACATTGATCAAGACAGTTGCTAAATTTGACTAAATATAACACCGATTCAAATATAATATTTATAAATTAATAATATGTTATTTGTTTATGAGAAGGATTTAATTTATATTTATAACTGAGTAAATTTGTACATAATTATTAAATAATAACCAGTGTTAAATATTATAATATCGAGAATTATAATTGATCTACTAATCTTTTGTTGAATATTATTAAGTTTAAATTGTTATCTTAATTCGTAAATTTAACATTTATAATGTATATTCACATTAGTATCATTATTATTCAGCATAAATCTCTTAAAGTTAAAAGAATTATAATAAAATAAATTGTCGACATTTAATACTTAAAATTCTACAATTGAAATTGCAAATGAAAAAAAAATATCAGGTTATTATAAATATAATAAAATGAAAATAATGTTACTACGTAATATGAAATTTTGATTTTTCATAAATAAAATAAATTTAGCAACAATAATAATATAGATTTTACTAAATTTTTATACATTTTTGTTTTATAAAGGATTTGGTAGTATTTAAATCATTTATATTAAATGTAATAATATCAAAAGTCAAATATAAAATACATTGGTATTTTTTTTATTATTACTTACATAAAAATACTAATTAGTATTATATATTTACTTAATTAAAAATTGAAATAATAATGACTAGAAACAGACAAGTAAATATTTAAAATATTATATACTATAAGATGAACTTCAAACAAAATGCTCAATAAGCTACATATTAAAATCTTCAATTATGTTAATAAATAATAATTATTAATGTACTATTTTAAAACTGGTTATAAATAAGCAAATATACTTGAATAAATACTAATTTAGTTTCATATTATCTAAAAATATCTATAGTTATAAATAATAAAAAAATATCTATAATTCTTCAGGTTTTGATATTTTATTCACCATATCATTGATCATGTCATTGTCAATGAGTCCAATAAATTTGTCAATGACATGACCATTGCGTATGGCTAAAACAGCTGGAACTGCTTTTACCTCAAATGTATGAACCAAATCTGCATTCTTTTCCACATCCACAATTGCTAAATGAACAGTTGGAGAATCTCCAACCATTTTCTTTAGCATTGGTGTCAATGTCATACAAGGTTCACACCATTCTGCATGGAAATTGACAATAACAGGAATTTCACTTTTTAAGACATTTTGTATGAAGTCTTCACTTCCACACACGGTAAATGATTTACAATAGACACGACCAACTGACATTGAACGTTTTGAGGACCGATGGATTTTTTCCAAACACCGAAATCGATTGAATGACATTGTATGTGTATTTAAAGTATCCAAGCTTTAAGTTGAGGAACAGTTTTACAACTCATAACATGTGAAGAGAAAAGGGCAGCTAATCCTATAGCTGCACTTATGGAAAGTACACTTAAAGTTGCTAAACGCCAAATGAATAGCGGATCAACAATCTAAAAAAAAAAAAATAATAATTTTCTTATTAAATGTATATGAAATTAAAAAAAAGTATTTTTTACAGAAAGTCAGTTAAAAAGAAATATTTTCAAACTTTTATACAGAAGAACCTAAATGTATTAAATAATAAATACCTCCATAAAACATTTAAGTTCAATGCAGTTATATGTTAAATTCACTAGCTAATCTATATTATAAATGCTATATTTTTTAAACCAAACAAAGCACTAACTTTAAATTAAATCTTCTAAAATTGCTATACATATATATAAGTATGTATATTCTTGATGAGTAGAATTCCCATAATAATATAATAAAAAAATTTATTTCTCTAGATTATTAACCAACAAAATCTTATATGATTGATTACATATTTTTTTACACTTAATATAAATAAATTATGATTTTTAAATTTACATACCTTATTCTCAAGTTTAGGACTATCTGTTGAGCTACGAGGTATTGAAAGTAGTATAATTGATATAAATATTGTAGATACAAAAACAATTGGTCCAATACTATGACGTGTTCGAAAAGAAAGGAGACACAAAATAAAAGATGAAGACCAAAGTCCAATTAAAATAATAGCACCTACACCAATTGTAGCAGAAGACATTTTACCTATGAAGACATTAATTTGTACATTTTTAAGTAAGTTTTAATTAATATATTTAATTTATTCTTTTTACCTGATATTTTGTAGACATTTCAATAATAAATAAGTAATAATTATAAAAATACTGTTCAATTACAATCAATTAAGGAGATGAACTGTTGATGTAAACTAAAATGTTGAGGTGGACTACACTAAACAAAAATTAATTATATTTTTTATAATAATAATTAACTCCATAAACAAAATATATAGAAATAAAATTCATATTAACAGTTAATTAAAATTGCGAATTAAGATAATCTTAACTGTACATATTTTAAAGCTGATATACATTCGTAGTCGATTTTGGATATATTTTAGTTCTAATGACTGTTGCCCTATTTGGCTGTTTTAGACTTTTTGTAAGGTAATACAGAAAAAGTTAATCATCATTGCATGATATCGTTTTTTCATCAGTTGTTTTTATGGTTGATTCCACAGATATATAAAACTATAGATAACCGACTCAATATTATCATTGAAGCAAAGCCGTCATATGGGAAGCTGACAATGTTTACATCATTGATTTATAATCAATGATTTACATTATTAACCTTATCACCAATCAAAATTCTTAAGAACCACAAACATTTCAAAATTTCATATGCCTTTAGTCTTAATTTATGATTATGAAATTTTAAAATTGTCAATTCTAGTACACTTAGTATGTGATGTTGTGCATTTTAAATATTTAATCTACTAAGACCCTAATTCAAACACATAATGTCGGTTATATAAGTCCAACAAATATCTATTTATTACAAAACATTTTTTTGTAAAGTTTAATAATATAATTTTTACTGTACTAAATAACAACTTAGGATTTGACGTGATTTTAAATATCCATTATTTGCTACTTTTTTTATATTTTTAATAACTCATCTCAAGTGTTAAAAATAATAAAAAAATGTTAAACTTCATTATTTATATAATATTATACATCATTATTTACATCGTTTACACCCAGTGTCAAACATAAGATGTTGTTATATTTATAATGTATATAACATGTTTAGATAAAATATATATTGTTATTTATCAATTTATTATTTTAATATTATGTATTCCCATTATCAATATAAAATTTGTCAACATTGCCAGATTTGCATATGGCGACTAAGATTCATGTCTTCCCGAAATGTATGGAATGTAGACTGTTTAGTTGTACTACATGTCTATGGTTATAGCACAGAATAAATTATAATAAACCTGAACTATTAAAACCATAAAGTAATATTACTCTATAATTAAAACAATACTACAATCACAAATTAGATAATCAGTGATAACATGAATGTAGTGATAAAAAATAATTATAATGTAACTATTATTGGTTATGTTAGAAATTTTAAATTAACTATTCACTACACATTACCATTACAGCCACATAAGCTTCATTCTGGTTGTTAATTGTTATTATTATTTATAAAAAAAAATTGATTTTGAACTTTAATTTAATTAATATAGAAATATTTGTTTCAATGATCAGAACTCCGATCAATCTTTTCACTTTTATCTATGTGATTCTTTCAGTCAATTTTCAAAACTTGAAGATTTAAGAGCTCAAACCCTGAATTAAAAAAATGTTTATATTTTTCTTTTGTATAAAATAAATGTAACTGTGAAACTTCAAAGTTGTATATAATCAATAATTAGCCATAGATCTACATTTTAAAAATAAAAAACCCTCGTGTTTATAAAAACTTAAAAATGGGTGATCAACCTGATCCATACCAGCACAGGTAATTAATAAATATCAGATATTGATTAACAAAAATCATTTAACTTAAAATGTTGATGTTAAACAACATAATATAAATTAATAGAAGATAAACTGTTTCATATATTTTCATCTATAAAAAGGTTATATTGATCAAAACAATTGCAAAAATATTAACGATCATTAACATCAATAACTTATAAGTATTCTCTGTTTTCTTTGTTAATATGGAAAAACTATTAAATCACATAATTTTAAAATAATGTAATATCTAATTTTTTAAATAAATCACTGTTGGTTTAATTGTTTTTGAAAAATTGTTATGAATTACTACTATCAACATATAAATTAATTTTTATATAGCTATACTTATGGATAAGTTATATATATTTTTATTAATCAAATAAAATTGATTATACCTAAATTATTTTATTTTAAATTATTTTCTATTAAAATTAACATTATAGAAATCTTTTAATATTATCATAATCAGTGTCAATAAGAGAAAAAATTAAAATTAAAAATAGTTAAATAAAATTACACTTTTTTAAAATTTCAAAATTTTAAAGGAGGAGATATGAATTTATTTATAATCAACATGAAATTATTAATTTTCTTTTTTAATTTTTTCGATTTGAGTATTCACAAAATATTTTTACAATTATGTTTTCAAATAAATTAATGTATTTAAATATTTTAATTCATATATTTTATTTTTTACTTCAGTATTAATATTTAATAAATTACTTATATTTGTATATGTTTAGTGCAGGAAATAAATGTATTAATTCTAAAAAAAGAATGCGTCAAACTGATAATCATTTTTACAAAACTAAACCTAGTAAGACAATAATGAAATATATTTTGAAATTATCTTGTGTATTTTAATATACATTTAAATTTTCAGAGAAATTCAAACAAGAAAAAATTCAAAATAGTTATAAATCCAATGATGATATTATTACATTATTTAGACTAGAGTTAGAAAAAATTTTGATGGGATCTAAAGACTTAAACACAAATATAGAAGATATACAGCCATATGGATCAAGAGTTTCTGGTCTTAACACCTATGAAAGTGATGTTGATTTGAATATAAATTACAGTTAGTATTATACAATAGCTATACTAGAATTTTTTATATTTTTAAATTTATTTTATATTAATTACCATTGTCTACAAGTTCCCCGTACATTTAAAGTATCAAATTATATATAACCACTTACACAAAAACAATTAAATGTTTAAGACTATAATTAGTGTAAATTTAACTTAATAATTAAATAAAATTCATTCATGGTAAATACTTATAGACTGATATATCAATAAATAGTTTATGTATAGAAAAAAAGTATGTAGGTTTCTTACAACATAAATTTATTTACATTGTAACAATGTATTATTAAGAGAAATAATTTTAATGTAAATAAAAATCTGATTGTATGCATGCTCCTAATTTGAGTTAAACTGAACTTATTCAAAAATGTATTATCTTAAAAATTCAACTTTTCATTTACATGACATACATAATAATTTATTTATTTTTCAATTTTGATTTCAAATTTTTTTCCTCATCAATAACAAATATTTATTAATATATTAATAAATAAACAAATAGTTTATGTATAGAAATAAATAAATAAGTGCTTAGCCTGGATTATTATTATATTTATAATGTACCACCAGTTTCAAATAAAAAATTCATCACCAGGTATATTAAAGTCAATATCTGCGTAAAATATCAGAATATATGAGTTGATTTTATTGAATTTGTATATACCTGTTGATGAATATTTAATTTAAAACCAGTCATACATTAAAAATATATTAATACTCTAGGCTAAGCATTTATTTATTTATTTCTATATGTATTGTCCTTATATCTTTTACTTTTGAGTTTTTGTCATGGGTTATCAGAAACTTTATTCATTGATATCTAAGGAATTAGAGGATTAATGTGTGATTGGTGCTTACTGTGAACATTTTTTTCTAGATTTTAAAATTGTGTTTTGCTGTTTTTGTCTATCATATTTATAAAACAAGAAATTTATGCATAATATATTTTCAACAAATGTCTATTAATGGAATTATGATTTTATTTACATGATTTAATGTTAAAGTTTTTAATTAAAAAATTAAAAAATGAAGGTACAACAAAAAAAAAAAAACAATGGGAAACTATAACTAAATTATTAATGTTATTTTAGATAAAAATAGTTAATATATTTAAATCAATCTAATAACAATATAAAACTTTTTTAGTGTATTTCGCAAGCCAAAGCTTAAAGCTAATTATTTTATTTTATCATTTATAATATTGTAATGTGTGCCAATGCAGCATAACGTAAATTTCAATGGCATGTGTCAAAATCACTTTAATATAGACGTTATATTTCCTAATTTATTAACTATTTAAAATAACTGCTGTAATTATTTTGAAATATTTTTATACTTTCAGCTTCAACAACACCTGTCATAAAATTAATAAGATCATTTGCTAATAGTATTAGTAAAAGCAAGATATTTGTTAAGGTTTTTCCTTTAACTCATGCGAAGATACCTATTATAAAGTGTGTTCATAGAAACACTTGGATTAATTGTGATATATCATTTAATAACATCAATGCTGTTTATAACTCTCAACTTTTATATCAAATTATAAATATGGACTATCGTATTAAACCAGTTTTAATGAAGTTAAAGATTTGGGGTAAAAATATTGGTCTTATAAATACTAATGGATTTTCCAGCTATTCTTTCTATTGGCTAGGATTGTTTTATATGCAAGTAATGGGAATATTGCCATCTATTCATGATTTACAGAAATCAGAACCAGAACTTATAATCGGAGGTTGGAATTATTGTGCATTTTCTAAAAAAGTGCAAGAATGTTTTAAAAACAAACATCAAAATATTAGTGAAAGTGATATAATGAATGCAATATTTTCATATTATTCAAATTTTGACTTTGAAACATTTGTAATTAGTCCGTACATTGGTTGCCCACTAATGAAAAATTGTTTCAATAATACAGATCAACTTCCAGAAGAATATTGGAGGTACAAACAATTTCACGAAACAAATAAAAATAAGAAGTTATTATTTTTAGGAACTACCAAATATAATATGTATATTCAAGATCCATTTCAACACAACAAAAATATTACAGCCAGAGTTATTCCAAAAATATTCGAGAAATTTATTAAAGCTTGTAAAGATACAAATTTAAATGTTCAGAAAAAAGTGGAATAAAAATCTTGAGTTAAATTTGTATTATTTTTTGAAATATTTAAATTTAGTGTTTAAATAATAAAATGATAAACATTTTAATTAAAATTAATAAATGTTTAATTTTCATAAATTAATATAAATAAATAAATAGAATATAAAGATAATTAAATGAATAATTAAAAGTTTAGCCTGGTGTATTATTATATTTGTAAAGTACAACATACATAAGAAATATAAGTTATATATATTTATAATATAAAAACACAATGAAATAAAGAAAAAAAGTTTTAATAATATTTTAAGTATACAGACCGATTTTAAAAATAATATCAATATATTTTAGATCAATGTTTCTAAACTTTTTTACTGTGGTGTGCCCCTTTTTGAATTTCAATTTTTAGTAACCCTTACATATATTTTTTTTATATACTCGTATAAATTATTAATAATACTATAAATAGTGTAAATTGCTCGCTGTACCGCAGGGGTGTCCAACCCGCCGCCGGGATAGATTTTGATGCTGCCCTCACTTCAATTTAAAAACCACCAATTAATTGTATATAATATATTAATATTATGAGAACAAATTTATTTGCTGGCCGATGCACATATCCCTGTTTTTACTTTCACAAAAAAGCAACTGCAAATTTCCTATTAGTTTTATTTTATTTTTTTTAATATAAGAAAATGTATTGTTGTATTATAGAAGATAATTTAACTATTGAATTTGAATGTATTATTATTAAAAATAAGTTTGTTGCCCACAGCAGCTTTTACTGATGTGATATGGCCCAGTCTTCACAAAAGGTTGGATACTCCTACTGTACAATATACATAAAAAACAAAATATATATATTATAATTATTTTCAATTAAAAAATGTATACCGTAAAAATGTAATATATACTTGATGTAATAGACTTAGTTAAACTAATTCATTTCCCCCCCTAGATCCGGCACTACCTACTGGTGTATAAGTATAAATTAAAGTAACAAATTTATACATTTATATGTTTTATCATTGATCAATTTCTATCAATAATAAATTAATTTATCATCATTTATTGTGATTTATCAATTATTATTGGAGGATAAATAAATATAAATCAATTGAGACAATTCATCTCTTAAAATTACTATATGTTGCATTGTAATCAAAAGCTTATATACCCAAACCATTTTTTTTTCTTTATTTCAGAATCTAATTACTTCATTTATTGACTCTGATACTCCACTCGAAAAATGTAATAATTTATGGAGATAGTATTTACATACCATATACTTAACGGTGCAAACTCAATCTTACCAACATGGGTCAAACATATACTTGCAATAACCCATCCGTATCAAAATTATTTAAAATATATTTTATCGCATATTAATACCATACATTAGGTCATAAACCGTATTGTTGGTAATGTAGTCCATAAGGCCTATAAAAACGATCAATAACCATCTACCAACCAAATATTTTAGGGGGTTGACTGATCCCCTTGGTTCATTATGCATGGGCCACTGTGTATACAATTGTAGAATTTGAAATTGTAAATAAAACATGATTATAAAAAAACTTAATTTTAAGTTTTTTATAATAATAATATAAAAATTACTCAAAATTAAATATTAATACTATAGTTTCTTAGTAATTCAATATTTTTAATTTTTATGAGTTAAACTTATAATTATAATTGATATTCTTGAATGAGTACAACATATAATTTTACAGATGTCTGAATTTGAATTAAGTACAATTTAAAGTAATTTACATTTTTAGAATTATCAATAAATATGTATTTTTTAGAAACATTAATATTGGATATTGTTTAAAATCATTTAATGTAAATTAGAACAATTTTAACTAACATAGTTGTGATTATTAAATAATAATTACAACTAAACTATAACACATAATTAAACTCCTAATACAGTCTTTAAATATTAAAACATGTATGCTTGATTATATCGATAGAAGTCATAAAATAATTAATAATTTATACCAATTAGGTTTATCAAATTATGTTTAAAAATATATCATGCTGAGATAAGTAGGCATTAAGACAAATCTAAATAGTCCATCTGTTATACAGTGAACCCTTAAGACTGCAATTCAAATTTGATTTTAAAGGGTGATTATAAAATCCTATATTATATAAGACAAAATATAAAAAATACAACATAATTATAAATTATATAGTTTAACATCAATCACAATGAATCTTTCAATATTGTAATTGTATTTCTGATTATATATAATATGTGTAATTTTATCAGATTTGATCGAAAAATAAAACAAATAATCTAAAGTATTCTAAATAGTTTATTATAACAACATAGTATATGAATAATATATATTCTAATTGGTCCTCTACACAAGTCATAAATTTAAAATATATAAACTTACATTAAAGTTATCCACAACTACACCATTGTTTTTTATTATCAAAAATAATTATATTTCTGTATTATTTTTCAAACATTCTTGTTCAATTATTTTAATATGTTCCAATAATTTTTTTTCTGAATATTTTTTTAAAAAATACTCAATTGCATACCCAACTCCATGAGGTTGAGTGCCGAAAAAATCTGTTATACTATCAATTTCATACTTTGTCCTAAATAGAAAATATACACAATACATAAGACAAAATGTATTAGTTTAAAGCAGATCACAAGTATATTATTTATATATTAAAAGACTTTGGTATATGATTTACCATGTTGGATTTGGTGTAATGGATAATGTAATTATATTTGATAAAGTGGCTATTTCTGACCAACTTAAATTCCTGGTTCTTGCCCAAAATTTTTGACCTTTTTCGTCATACCAACATTCTTCTTCAATAATAAATTCCGGAACATGTAAAGCTTCATCACGTCTTAATACTTGAGGAATAATATTATGACAGACCAACCTATGTTTTGTGTATTCAAATCCATGATCATCTAAACAAATTCAATTTGTAATTGGTCTATAATATGAAAATTGAATTTTTATTACCAATACTTTAATAATTAAAAGAAAATATCACAAATATTAATATACCAATATGTTCATCAATTAATTCTGAAATTTTAACAACCTCGTCCTTTTGTCTAATTTGATTATAACATGTTTTAATTGTTTGAAATGGTTGCTGGAATATGTGGACCAATGCTATAGTTAAAACCATGATTGTATTTTGCTAATTAAATTAAATATAGAAAAAACTAAAAACTATACTTGAATTTACAATTAGCAAACACTAATATTATGAAACATGTTGAGTTAGTGAAGATTACCTAAAATATATAAGAATCATAATATATTACTTATCTTTTTAGTATATTGACGTACATACTAGGTAAAATAAAAAATGTAAATATTTGTGTTTTTATATAATGGTGACTACTGATATGTAATGAAGTAATAACAGATTGGGATAAGTTGGACTTAGGAATATTGAATAATTGGAGGTCATCATAATGATTAATAATTTAATATGAATTTAGGTGTTGGTAATACCATATTGAAGAACAAGTTTTAAATTAATGCGGTAGATTAATCAATTTCAAAGAAGTTATAAGCTCCAATCTACAAAGTGCATATCATAGAGTAATTACTCCATGACACGAACTAATATAAAAGAGGACTAGAAACGAATGTTCGGTTACTAGCAGTTGTCCAAAAAATGATAAGGACCCCAGAATCAAAAAATCTAAATTATACCACAGGACGTAAATTTTGTTGAAATAAGGAATAATATGCATAGTATTCAAAGTATTATGCAAAATAAAATAACCACTAATTGCTTCATTATGCTGTAATATTAGAAGTTGAAAAAAAATATTGTACTTAATGCATATAAATCTTAAATTTACACTTATAATCATAACTGTTTTGATTTAAAAACTCCAATGTTATGTCTCGATATATTATAATTTCTAGGTTTCCTGAACGATTTTTCAAAACAATATTAAACCAAAAAACTAAAACCATCAATATTGTTCGTATCGTCTTAAAATCATTTAGATTCAACGCTTGGGCATCAAATTTCAGTTCTCAAAAAAGTTGTGAGCGTTCTTAAAATTTTAAAATTGACATGATTAAATTTCTCGCCAATTTTTTTGTTGAAAAATTCATATTTTCAACACAACGTTTACCACCCTAACAATTGAGTTAAACGATTTGTTAACATTAACAATCGAAAATTAAAGTAATATCATAATTATAATAAAAACTCATAATCAAATCATAATTAAAACTCATATTGTTATGAATTTTGGAAATTTCTTTTTCTTGACACTTTTGTTTCATTTTTCTATTGTGTGACAAAGTTTCATTCACATTATGATATAATACTGAAATATATTTGCTATAAATTAAAAAAATTTTTTTATTTTTTCTGTGTTTGAAACACAATTTTTTACACAACACTATTATAATTTAATAATTTTTATGTATATCAACTGTGTATTTTATGGTGTAATAAATAAATCGTTTATGTACCTAATAAAACAATTATTAAACTTTGATTATCATTGGTCTTGAACTACGATTAAAATTTAGTAATAGAAAGGTAAATAGGGTAAATAGGTAAAAAATTTTAATAATAGTTGGTGGTTAATATGTTATCAACAGCTTTGCAGTTATTATTAATGTTTTACTTCTAAAACAATTTAATTATGTAGGGTTCCCATACGTCCCGGAAAACAGGGATTGTCACTGGTTTTGGACTTTGTGTCCCGGTGTCTCAAAATATGTTTTCGGGATGTCCATATGTCCGGGCTGGTATCCGGACATTTCGCGATTAATTCATCGTGTGATTCAATATGTCAATAATTAAAACAAAAATAACAGACGAACTATTAGAGAGAAGGTTCGATTTTTTTGTGAAACATTTCCCAGATAGTGGAATACCTGATAGATTGGGCATTGGACCTGAACGAGTACGAGTAAATTTAATTGGAGAACACACAGACTATAAAAATGGATTCGTGTTACCCATGGTGAGTAAATATTTTTCATGTTAAGAAACTTAAATGAAAATTAAAGTGGCTTTTAAAGTAGAATAAGAACTGAGTAATTTTTTACATAATATGTCATACGCTTGTGTGGTAGATATTATTTTATTATTATATTGTATACTCAGCAGATGGGTAATAAATAATCATTTTATTGTTTGAACAATTAATACTATATTTTATGTATGCATAGTAATAACTACTATTGTGTAGAACTTGTGATTACATTTATTTTAGAAGTTTCGAATAACAATAACTTAAACTATTTTAAAGACAATTTTAGTTCATTAATATAGTATCCAGTCGGTTCATAGGCGTGTGCACGGGGATAGCTGGGTGGGCCGCGGCCCCCCTACAGAATCTGGCTTTTTCTTTAATAAATGTATATCTATACTATACAAGATAGTGAATATTTTTAAATTTTACATGAATAATGTAAAGCCAGTTTTAATCTTATAGAACAGAATTGATATCTGTGAATAAATGTAATAAAGTTATTAGTTATTAATCAGACTAATCAGAACTTGCATATAATATAAAAATTGAAGATGAAATTGATACATTCAAAAATCTTACTCCCGTGGGCAAAAGGATGGAGTTGTAAATAATATAATTATATGTAAATAAGGATTTCTTAGATATAAATTGTGTAAGTTTAAATAGTATTTATTTTTATATTTGCATATTGAATTAAATAAATTATTTATAAAATTTAAAATATTTAATTATACTATTAGTCTTTAGTACAAGAATCTTTGGTTCACTTTTTTAAGGGGCCCCCCTACGGAAAAAATCTGCGCACGCCTATGACTGCTGATGACTGATGATGACTGACTCTTGTCTTTGCGTCCCTTGATATTTATTCTATGTTTCTAGGTCATCCTACTTTGGCATGGGACTGTCCCGGACATTATATATATCCTATTGTCTTCGATTTCATATTTTATAATTTGACAATTCGTATTCCCGAGAGTAATATCACGGAGTTTGACAATATATTTTAGGTTATTACATTATTATTATTAATTTAAAAGACAACTTATCCTGTAATTATTAATAATGCATTTGTATTGGCATTGTACATTTTTAAGACTAAAGAGGTTATATTATTATGCAAGCGCAACACTTTCTATAACATTTGGTAAAGGTAGCACGTCTTGTAACAATATTTCTTCTTTTTTCTTCATTGGACAGACCGTAACAAAATGCTCTCATTTTTTTGGGGGTCTTAACTTTTTTTATAGGTGGAGGATTGCCGATAATTGTAGCTGATAACGAATACAATCACCTAAAAACAGAAGTTATTATTTGTATCAATTTATCACAGATTCTAGGAATAATTATTATCTAGAGCACGATTTTAGAAGATTGTTATCTTCTAAGACCGTGATCTAGAGCCTGAACTAAAATCTTAGTAAGTTCATGTCTAGTGCCTAAGCTTTTTAATTCGTATAATCTGTATATATACTTACAGTTGATTAAAATTTCCCTTATTTTCATGAAATACACTTAAATTTCCTTTTTTTCCCTTTCTAACATTTTATGCTCAAATTACCCTGCGTAGAGGGAATTACCCTGTCATCAACCATCACTGCTGACAGCGGTTATTAATGTTCACTCACTGAGATAAAACATAATAAAATAGATATTCAATCAGCTGATCAATTTATTTACTTTTCTCTGGAGGCTCCATAATTTACAAAGACTTTTAAACTAACCAGATGAGGTACTTCTGTTATCAAGCGAATCTTTAAGAACGCTGATGTCTAAGGACGTGGTATCAATTGAAAAGTATTGATCCTTTTACTTGGTACCGAATCGAATAAAAATACCGATATGAGTAAAAATCGAAAGAAAAGTAATGATCCTTTTACATCGTCGTATCGAATCAAATTAAAATAATAAGAGTAAAAATATAAAAACCACCGATATCAATAATCGTTCTGATTAAGAGGAAACCTATTAACGCTATTCTATTGTGGACTGTGGTTTCTGGTCCGTGGACATAACAATATAATGGTATAGACTGCAGACTATAGTGTGATGACTGATCAATGTAAACAAATCCACCACTACGCGGGCAAAACATTTTACTAGAAAATAATTATTGTACGATACCATTCGAGTATTTTGATTTTTGAACCAATGTAGCCGTTAGTAATTGATTCAAAACTGTTCATTCCATAGACCTATAAACTAGTTCGATACCAGTATTTTCTTATCGATATAAGTATCGAAACCATGCTATCGAATACAAAATAGACTTGTATCGAACGAAAAGCATCAATACTTTTTTGGTATCGGTAGATTGCAACATTCATAATCACGTGATCTCTTCCGTAAATTGTTGTCTTTTCGTGGACGCCGATAGTATGATTATATTGCTGTGATGTTTCAAACATCGTGTTTCCTCGTCAATCAATATTGTTGTCCAACATTGTTTCATAAAAGCCAATCTATAGGTCAGTGACTAAGTGTACCTTTTGGACAGTAAAAGAGGAACAAGGCCAAAACGTCACACCTGGTATGCCAGAACTTGCGTCCTATTCTCTCTACAACCGATTTTACAAATTTTTTTTACTTTAACGACTAAAATTACAAATCTTCAACATAATGAAAACTTGGGATAATTTATGTAAATATTAAACTTTATTAAACTTTTTTTTCTTAAAATAAGAAAATATATGTATTTGTAATACAAGGTAAAAAATTACATAAAAAATTTTATATCCTCCTTAAACCATGTACAGCAATTATTGATCAATAATAATTTTCAGAAATGCTCCTGTGCAGTGTCATTGATGCAGTGATATAGCATTTGGAAAGTAGTGGTGTATTAAGTAACCAGAGTGATCCAGCAGTAGCTATTATATTGAATTAAAATATTATTATTTGATTATTAAATGAGAGTAATAATACAAAGATTATAAATTTAATTAGAATTTTTAAACTTGATTTATAAATAGCTAGATATAAAGCAATAATTTAAATATTTTACTAGATTTTTATAATATTTTAAGTAAATTAAAAAATTAACATATTTATACCATTTAAAATGAAAAGGTAAATATTAAAAGGGGATCCCAAGCTCCGGCAGGAATTTTGATTTAGGTATATAAAAAAAAAAAAAAAAAAATTGAAATTTGAAACAAAATTAGATAGATGAATTTAAATTGAATTATATAATATAATGATGAATGCTATTTATAAAGAGTTAATTATTGTTAGTTAATTTTAATCATATGATTCAAAATGTTTGAGATATTATATGTAAATTAAATGAATTTGATTTTTATTCCATTAAATATTTAATGTATAAAATTCAACAAAAAAATTATAAATAGTTACCCGGCTCTCCAATGACACTTCCTTTGGGTAGAAACAAAGAA